AAAAAAAAGTGAAGATGATGGTTTTCCATTTTATTAAAACTGTGTTGTTTATAGAGGTTATTTGATATTATATTTCCCAAAAAGGTACTGAACTGTAAACAATAAAAGTTAAATACAATTTCTTGTATAAGTGTACATAACCAATTAAATATTTATATTCTTACAGATCAAAAAAAAAAAAAAAAAAAAAAAGAATAATTTCTCCTGTCTATTTCTCCTACCTAAAATTGGGCTAGGAAAGCAATACACATTAAATTAAATGACGTCATGGAAAGCAGCTAGAACAGTAGTCCATATATATGTTAATTTCCAGCCCCTTAACTAGCTTAAAATACATGTCAGCAGCATGATGAAGGCAAAGCAAACAGAAATAAAACAAGCCACAAAAATGTAAACAAGATGCTGTTCTATTACATCACTGGTTAAAGGCACACAGATGTCAGATGCCGCTGCTATCCTTACACTTGGTGAGATAACTTCAGGATTACACTCAGCTTCCATCGCAGCTTCAGCTACTAAGACAACAGGAGCCTCCATGAGGTAACTTGAGAAAGACTGTATGTCAGAACGGCCGGAAAGAAGCCAGATTTACAAAATGTTAAGGAAGCAAGGAGCTCTGTCAAACACCAGTGCGAGCCACTGCCTCCCGTGTGTGTGCACATGGAATATACAATTTGTCTTCCTCCATCTCCTTCTCCAAGGGATCACCATGTGACAGCAAAACAAAACCACAAGAAGCGTCAAAGGCAAACGTGAAAGACCAGCGCATACCTGGCCATCTCTGCTGATCTGGACTTTCTTGTTGTCATTCCAGGGGTTGAGTAGATGGTGTGCAAACTGGAAGGGCAGGCTCTCCTTCCGGACCCACTCCACCTTGAACACTCCTCCCAGTCCAGATGAGCCCCAGTCCTGGCTCTTCTCCCTTCCTATCTCCGAAGACATCCTAGAAAATCCCTGTGGGTTGAATGAGGGGGAAGGGGCAGGGTAAGTAGGGTATTAAAATGTCTGACTTCAATTTATCTGAGAAAGCTCTCTGTTGTTTTTTTTTCTTAATTTTAAGGTAAAATATAATATAAAAACAACAGATATCTAACAAAAGCAAAGAAGCTGTTGGTTTTTATAAAAAGATGTATTAGCACACTTCCAGCCTTCTAACATAATTTCAGTATAAACATATTTTTTACATAATGTATTAATAGCCCTACACCCACATTTATTCCATGATAAATGGATATAATCTAACCTGTTAGTTTTTACTTCCAAATATTATACATCATGTCAAGATGCATTAAGAAACACACTCAAGTTTCTGGATTGTCAAATTCTAACTTCCTTACCTCCTTATATAAACATTTTACCAAAAAAGTCAAGCTTCTCATTACTCTTAATCCACCTGAGAAACAGTAAATCTAAAGTTATCTTCAGAAGGAGAAATGGTTTGGGGCGCCTGGGTGGCTCAATCGGTTAAGCCTCCAACTTCGGCTCAGGTCATGACCTCCTGGCTCATGGGTTCAAGCCCCCCATTGGGCTCTGTGCTGACAGCTCAGAGCCTGGAGCCTGCTTCAGATTCTGTGTCTCCCTCTCTCTCTGACCCTCCCCTGTTCATTCTGTCTCTCTCTCTCTCTCAGAAATAAATAAAACATTGGGGGGGGGGGGGAAGGAGGAGAAACGGTTTATCTATCTAAAGAGGTTCTGGGAAGACCAGGAAAACAAAGGGGTCCCTGTTATCATCGTGTTCCTGAAGAAGTACAACACATTCCTCATTCTGTCAAGCAAAATGGGTTCTTGTGTCTAATGCAAAAAAAAGCCAGGGTGCTTTTTGGTTTTTGTTTCAATATCTGTGGTCTAACCTGCAGCAGAACAGCCCCATTTTACTGGTTCAGGATGGCTCACCTGGAAATGTCCAGATCCTTGAACAGAAAATACCAAGTAAACCATGCTGCTTTCCCAAAAGGCTCGATTTAGCTTCCGCTCATTACTAGGGGTTGTAGACCAGATACCCTTCTGTTGAGAAATTTCAAGGTTTCTCAAATTGCTACTCTTCATTATGAAGTATCGAATAGGCATGTTTGGTCTTGGTGAAGGAGATTTTGAGCCCTATAAAAGAATGCATAAGTTCTTGAAAGGTAATTTGACCTTTCGAAATCAATAGACTCCATTAAATAACATCTTCATCAACACAGAAACCAAAATAGTTTACCAAATATCCGACAAGGGCAAACAGCTCCATCGTGCCTGAAAAGCTACACAACCTCACACAGAATGAGGTTACGGAGCCAAACCCCAGTACTCATTTTCAGAGCACTCCAAATCCCTTATCAAGAAAGGATCCTTTGATTTATATTCCAAATGTACTTTCAGAAACGATTTTAATAAACTTTCAAAACAAAACTTTGCTCCAGCTTCCCGCCTGGATACAGCTTCCAGGCAACAGTGCAGGGAAGGGAAACAAACAGTCCGGTGGTCTCGCTGAGCGAGCCTGGAGCTATAGGCCAGGCTTCGACTCTGCACAGCAGTGTGCTGGCTGGAAGACGGCTGCACAGAAAGAGAGTTCCCAAGGAACAGAAGATGGGTCCCCACAAGTTTTCGACCTAAGTACTAACCTGAACACGACTGAGAAAACATAATGGAACACCAGGGAAAGATCCAGACAGAAGCAGTGGACTAAATAATTCCCGGGCTCACACGGGGTTGGGCGTGTTTCATGTTCCCCCAGCCAGAATGGAAACAACTGTTAATATACAGGGCATCAGCCCGTAGAAGCCTCATGCCTTAGTACTGAAACTAAGTTAGTACCAGAATAAAAACTGCTCAGGACTGCTGTAAAACTGCAAAGAAAATCTTAAAACACCAAACTAATTGCCACTAACTTAGTGGTATATCAGAGAGATGTCTGACACTACTTAAACGAATACAACAAAAATCTAGCAGCCAAATGAAATTATGAGGAATGCCAAGAAACAAGCAAGAATAGGTCCATAACTAGGGAAAAAATGAACCAAAAGGGAAAAAAATCAGATCTAACATATGATGGAATTAGGTGACAAGAATGTCAGGGCAGCCATGGTAAAATATACACTGAAATTCACTGTGTTCAAGAAGGTAAACATATGTGTGCCTTAACGGGGAAATGGAAAGTATTTTTTAAAGGCCCAAAGGGCATTCTAGAGATGAAAATATAATGTTTGAAGTGAAAAATAGAAAGAATGCATAGCAGATGAGACACTACAAATAAAAACATCAGTGAACTGGAAAACATAGCCAGGAAACCATCTCAAATGAAACAAAGAAAGCAAAAAAGAACAGAAAAAAATGAAGGCAGCCTCAGTGACCTATGGAATAGTACCAAGTGGTCTTGCACTGGTATATCCCTAGTCCCAGAAAGAAGGGGGAGTGATGAGACATAAAAAATATGTGAATAAATAATGGTCTTAAATTTTCCAAAATTGATAGAAACTATAAATACATAGATTAAATAAGAACTACAAACAGAGGGGGGTGCCTGGGTGGTTCAGTCGGTTAAGCTTCAGACTCTTGGTTTTGGCTCAGGTCATGATCTTGGGGTTTGTGAGTTCAAGCCCCACATTGGGCTCTGTGGTGGCAGTGCAGAGCCTACTTGGGATTCTCTTGCTCTTTGTGTCCCTCTCCTTTTCGCTTTCTCTCTCTCTCAAAATAAGCAAATAAACTTAAAACAATTACAGTTAAAATAAAGGTTCTCATCACAAGAAAAAAAAAACCATTAAGAAAAAAGAACTACAAATAGAAACATATCAAAATCAAATTGCTGAAAACCAGTGATAAAAAGAAAATTTTAAAAGCACCTAGAGGAAAAAGATACATTATATACAGAAGGAAAAAAAACAATGACAGTAAACCTCCCTCAGAAACTATGTACACAAGAAGATAATGGAGTGACATCTTTGCAGTAACAGAAGAAAACCACTGTCAACCTGGAATTACATACACAGTAAAAACAGCTTCTGGGGCGCTTTTGACTTTGGCTCAGGTCATGATCTTGTAGCTCGTGAGCTCAAGCTCCGCATCGAGTTCTCTGCTGACAGCTCAGAGACTGAAGCCTGCTTCAGATTGTGTCTCCCTCTCTCTCTGCCTCTCCCCCCGCCAAAAAATGAATAAACACAAAAAAAATTTTAAATAGCTTCCAAAAATAAAAGTGAAAAAAAGGTTTTTCAAACAAAAGTTTAAAGAATTCACTTCTGGAATAGCTGTACCAGAAAAAATGCTAAAAGAAGGTTTCTAGGGGCACCTGGGTGGCTCAGTTGGTTGGGCGCCTGACTTCAGCTCAGGTCATGATCTCATGGTTTTTGAGTTCGAGCCCTGTGCCTGGTTCTATGCTGACAGCTGGGAGCCTGCTTCAGATTCTGTATCTCCTTCTCTCTGCCCCTCACATCCTCATGCTCTGTTTCTCTCTCTCAAAAATAAACATTAAAAGGGGCGCCTGGGTGGCTTAGTCGGTTAAGCGTCCGACTTTCGCTTAGGTCATGATCTCGCGGTTCGTGGGTTCGAGCCCCACGTCGGGCACTGTGCTGACTGCCAGCTCAGAGCCTGGAGCCTGTTTCAGAGTCTGTGACTCCCTCTCTCTCCGACCCTCCCCTGCTCACGCTGTCTCTCTCTCTCTCTCCTAGAAATAAATAAAACATTAAAAAAAAAAATTTAAAAATAAATAAATAAATAAACATTAAAAATTTTTTTAATAATAAATAAAATAAAATAATAAAAGGAAGTTTCCGGACAGAAGTGCATGATCCAAGACAGTAATACACATCAACAAAAAAGAATAAAGAGCACAAGAGGAGCTCTTAGGTGGCTCGGTCAGTTCAGAGTCCGAATTCGGCTCAGGTCACAATCTCACGGTTTTTGAGTTCGAGCCCTTCATAGGTCTTGGCTGACAGCTCAGAGCTTGGAGGCTGCTTCGGATTCTGTGTCTCCCTCTCTCTCTGCCCCTCTCCTTCTCATTCTCTCTCTCTCTCTTTCTCTCTCTCGCTCTCTCTCAAAATAAACATTAAAAAATTTTTTAAAGAATAAAGAGCACAAGAAATGGTAAATATTGAGTAAATATAAAACACATTATTCTGACTTCTGGAAAAAGATGATTTACTGTGAAGTAAAAACTAATGCACTACGGCATGTATAACAAATGTAGAAATAAAATACATGAGATCAGTAACACAAAGGGCTAAAGGGTAAAATAAAAACACACTGTTGCAAGGTTCTCAAACTATACCTGAAGTGGCATAAAACTAATTCAAGATATATTAAAGAAAGTTAAAAAATGGCTACAGTAGTAAATTCTACCAAACACTTAAGGAAAAAAATCACATGAATCCTATGCATCTCTTGCAAAAACTTGAAGTAGAAAGAAGACTCCCTAACTAACCTGTAGCCAACATTACCCTGATACCTATACAAAAATAACACAAGAGAACTATAGAATATCCCCCATGAACAAAGATCCTAAATTGAACACAAGTTCTGATTAAGGCAAAATCAAATCCATTAACATTTAAAACCATAATATGTCATGACCAAGTGAGGTATAAACACTAGAAAAACAGTCAATGAAACCCACTTTATTAATAGAAGAAAAAAAGAATCATGTTACCATTTTAGTAGATGTAAAGGGAAAAAAAAGCGTGAGCATAATTCAACATTTATTCCTAATAAACCCTCTCAGAAAACTAAATCCAAAGGGAAACATCCCACAGTTACATTATGGTAAGATTTTACATAGGAGGAGGGGCTTACTTTCCCTCAAAGGTCTGTTCTTGACACTGTTCTTAAACATTGTACTGGAGGTTCTAGCCAGAGAGAACAGGCAAGAAAAGAAATAAATAAAATCAATGCTAGAAAGTAAAAAAGTAAAACTACCTTTGTTAATAGATGAAATGAGTATCTATGTAGGAAATTCTGAGAAATCTCATGTTATATAGTGAACAGAATTAATAAATGAAGATCATGGCATTCTGGGTAAATATACAAAGATCAAAGGTATTTCTATATGCTAGCAATGAATAATTGGAAATTAAAAATTTTACAAAGAGCATAAAAATATAAAATATTTAGTGATCAATGTAAAATGTGTAATACTTGACCTCTGAAATTTACAAAACACTGTTGTGAAAAACTAAAGAATATCAAAATAAATGCAGATATATACCACACTTAGAGATTAGAAAACTAAAAACGATCAATTTTCTTCAAAATGATCTAAAAATTAAATGCAGTTCCACTCAAAACCAAAATATGCTTCTGCAGAAATTAACAAGCATTTTCTAAAGCTTATATGAAAGAACATTAGAACACCTTGAATACCAAAACAATTTCATTTTTTATCATTTTTTTAAGCGTCTGTGTATTTTTGAGAGAGAGGGAGAGAGAGCAAGTGGAGGAGGTCAGAGAGGAAAGAAAGGACAGAGGACCCGAAGCAGGCTCTGTGCTGACAACAGACAGCCTCAGGTGGGCTCAAATCCACAAATCATGATATCATGACCTGAACCAAAGTCAGACACTTAACGGACTGAGCCACTCAGGCACCCCCAAAACAAATTTTTAAGAATAACAGAGTTGGAGAAAAAAGTTAACTGGTTTCAAGATTTAGTATAAAGTTACTATAATCAAATCACTGTAGCAGAGGCAAAAACAGAGAAGTACACAGATCAATGAAATAGGAAACAGTCCAATAATAGACCACATATTTATGGTCACATGATTTTTGACAAAGGTGCCAAGATAATTCAATGGGAAAAGGATAATCCTCTCAATAAATGGTGCTAGAACAATTGTACAGACAAATGCCAGATTATGATCCTTGACCCACCCACACTATAAACAAAACTTAACTCAAAACAGATCATATACCTAAATGTAAGAGCTTTCACTGTAACACTTCTAGGAGAAAATCTTTGTAATCTTGAGTGAAACAAAGACTTCTTAGAACATAGAAACTATGAACCATAATAGAAAAATAGATGAAACCAAAATAGAAAAAAACAGATGTGGTATAGACTTCATCAAAATTAAAAATACTTGTTCTTCAAAAGACACTGTTAAGAAAATGAATATGCAGGCAAAGACTGTTAGAAAAAGTTGCAAGACATATATAATTAAGACTTGTATCTGGAAATATATTTTTAAAATCTTACTATTAAATAAAAAAGACAATCAACAAACAACACACAACCAACAGCTGTGTGAACAGCTCCTTCACACCAAAGAAAATTCAGGAATGGTAAATAAGCTCATAAAAAGATGCTCACCATCATTAGTCATCAGGAAAGTGCAAATTAAAACCAAAATAGGAGATCACTGTATACTCACTAGAATGGCCCCCAGAAAAGTGATTAATATTGTCAAGAATATGGAGCAAATGGGACTCCCATATATGATGGAAGGGAATGAAAATAAAATACAGCCATTCTGGAAAACAGTTGGGATAGTTTCTTGTCAAGTTACACATACACTTAATCATATAACCCAACAATCCTACTCCTGGGTATTTTCCCAAGAAAAGAAACTGTACATACACACAACAACTTGCCCTCAAATATAGCAGCTTTATTCACAACAGCCCAAAAGTGGACTGGTGAATGGGTAAACATTCCATGGGTATTAGCCATACAGTGGAATACAATTCAGCAATAAAAAGTAATAAATTAATGATATACTGAATAATTTGGATCAATTTCAAAAGCGAAGTAAGCTACTCACAAAAAACTGCATACATAGGATTCCATTTACAGCAAATTCCAGAAAAGGCAAAACTCTAGGGACAGAGAGCAGTTCAGTGGTTGTCACCATCCAGGGGTGACAGGAATGTTCTGTACATGGCTATGATACAGTTACATAATTATATACATTTGTCAAAATTCACTGATTGTATAGTTTAAACTGGTGAATTTTATTGTGTGTATATTTAAATAAAGGTATTTTCAAATAAAAACCTGAAAGCCTAAGAATGCAAATCCACAAAAAACATTTCTTTTCCTCTTATTTAACAAGAGTGTTTCAACAGATATTTTCACCAGAACACAGCATATAGCTAAAGAAACCCAATCAAATACTTAGTCAGTACCAACAACACGAAAATAAAAGTAACACACTCTAAACATCTGAAATTATTGTATTACAAATTTTTTAAAGGACACATAGTTCTCAATTCCCTTACCAACATCTCCTATCTTCCTAACCCCACCCTGCCTTGTATTTTTTAATATAACCACTGAATTGGAAAAATCAATAAATAATTGGAAAAAAAACCCAAAACTAATTTGAGATCATCCTTTTAACAAAAAAAGGTTCTAACGACATAGAGAGGAAATCACAGGTGGCTGATTTACACACCATCGGTAAATGATCACTTAGTTTTCTAACGTCCCAAGATGGTACTAACTAGAAATACTTGGCAAGAAGACTAAAAATTTACACAAGGTGTTTCAAGTTTGCCAGATTCAATTTCTATCTAGAACAAAGAGCATGATTAGTAACTGAAAAGTAGAACTGTTCTAGAATTTTGCTTAAATCTGCAACATTAGATGTGCTAGTGATCAACTTTGAGATACTCTACCTTTCCTGAGGATGGAGGAGAAGGGCTGGCACAAGGACTCGGGTAACTATTGCTGTCTGTAGATTTCACAGAAGATTGATCTGATCGGTCATCGGTGCTTCGTTTAGGATGTAAAATTCCTCTATCTTTGTACTTCTGAGGTGGGTGCAGTGCTGGAGATGGAGGTTTCATCAATACTCTTGAGTGAGAAGGAGGAAGCAAAGATCAGTTACATACATACAAGCTCGTGACTGAAAGCAGATGCCATTTCAAACCAAATTTTCAGTGGTATTATGATTTATGGAATAGTATTTAAAAAGGGAATTTCATTCTTCTCTTATACTTATTTTTTTAAATGTTTACTTATTTTTAAGAGACAGAGAGATAGACCATGAGAGGGCGAGAGGCAGAGAGGGAGAGAGAGAGAATCTGAAGCAGGCTCCAGGCTCTGAGCTGTCAGCACTGAGCCCAACATGGGGCTCAAACTCACAAACTGTGAGATCATGACCTGAGCCAAAGTCGGACACTTAACTGACTGAGCCCCCCAGGAGCCCCCCCTTACATTTAGATGTTTAATACCATCTGGGATATTAAGGCGTACTTACAAAAACAATAGGTAAAAATACATTTATAACAATCTACAGAAGTCCTTAACTTAATGTTAATAAATACTCAAAGTATGACTTCCCTTATAAAATTTCTAATCTCTTGTATGATGGTTTAAGAAAAGAGGTCTTTAACATTCCCGGCAGTCAAGAATTTTATAATTTTTAGAAAAGTATATGTCTTTGCGGAACAATCAGACATAAAAAAGAAAAGATACTATTGAGTACTTCATAAAGTCATGCAATAATAAAGTTCACAGCACCACCTATAAAATAATACTTGTCAAAATATCGGATCTAATCAAGCCGTGAGAGCTCACTGCCGGTTTACACGAAATACATATGGAAGGGCAACAGATAATGCCAAGAAGAAACAGACAAACGAATGTGGTACGCCTCACAGTATCACCATCCCACTTTCTTCAAAAAAGTCAACAGAGGACCCGCTCTAGATCATGAGAGACTCAAGACACATGATGTGAGGCAGTGCATGACTCCTCCTGGGACTCTGATTCAAACAAACGTATGTAATACGAGCACTAGGGAAATGATCGTTTTATTGGGATTGATAATTCAATTTTGATTATGTAAGAAAAATTCCATTCTTTTTAAGAGATGCATATTTAAATATGAAAGGGTAAAATGACCTGATGGGTGGGATTTATTTTGAAATATGTAAACCAAAAAAGAAAGCAGGAGGGAGCAAAGAAAATTTGGTTAGACAGAGCAAGTAGGTAAAAATCTTCATAACTGCTATATGTGGGGTATGGAGTTCATTACAGTATATCATTTAGTATGCTCTGTTTAACAATATTTATAATAAGCAAGTCTAAGACCAAAAAGGATGTGTTCAATAATTCATAAGCTTCCAGAGAGTCTTGCAATTAATTATTCTTCCTTCAAGACAAGTTAAAATAGCTTATCCCCACAATTTGCTTCTGCTTCAATAAATATCTTCGATCCAGGATTTCTTTCACAAATGAAATAAAATAGCTAAAGCCTAAAGGTATTAACAAAAGAATATATAAGTAATGCACATCTGAGTCATTAACCATCTAAGAAGTATAAAAAACTACCTTTCAGGGTTTTTTTTTTCCTTCATCAATTGATGTTCAATGCATTACCTAAATTCAACCACTAAAATATCATCGTTCCTACCCTGAAACCTCAGAGACCTGAAAATTAGGCGACAGAACTTAACGAAGGTAAAACTGGGATTCGAACTCACAAACCATGAGATCATGACCTGAGCCAGAACCAAGTTGGATGCTTAACCAACTGAGCCACCAAGGTGCCCTAAAATGTTTTTATTAAAAGAAATTATGGGGGCGTCTGGGTGGCTCAGTCAGTTGAGCGTCCAATTCTTGTTTTTGGCTCAGGTCATGATCTCATGGTTTGTGGGTTCGAGCCCCACATCAGACTCTGCACTGTCAGCAAGAAGCCTGCTTGGAATTCTCTCACTAATTCTCTCTTTCTGCTGCTCCCCTGTTTGTACTCTCTTTCTCAAAATTTTTTTTATTAAAAAAAATTATGTAACCTATATCTTGCCAATGTACAGTGAGAATGCTAACTACAGATACTTTTTCTCTAAGAAGTAATCTCACAGACTGTAATTTCTTCTTTCAAGTATAAATTTTCCTAAGAGTCCTCATTCTTTCCCCACCAAATGCATCAACTCCAATGCATTATCTATGAATAACACCAAAAGCCTGAAGGTAGATGAAATTCTGTATTTCCCCGTTCGACAGGTAAGAATGAAGAGTGCCAGGCTACAACTTGTAAGGAAATGAAAATGGTTGATGCTGGTATCCCAGGTGAAAAACTTAATTTATAAGAAAAAATATCTGAATTATAACTAATATTACACTTTCTAATTTTAATTGTATTAAATTTCTTTTATTAAATAAGCATGTATTACTTTTATTTAAAAAAATAATCTTTTTTCTAAAAATGTGTGGGCATGTGTGTACATATGAATGTACGCACACACATATATATCCATATTTACACACAGACCCATACACACACATAACACACACAATCTCTACGAACCTAACAGGTTTTCATAGATGGGCCTAGGAATAACACTACCACCTAACAATTTCTATAGAAATCTATTCCCATATTCTACACCACTGTCCAAGTAAGCTTTTAGAACATTCTTTTCAAAAAGTGGGTAGTGTCTAAGAATAAAATGTGCTTTTTACTCTTCTGTTGCTCAGCAGGGCCTACATCAGACAGAAACATTCCAGAACACACATGATGAGAAGGTTTTTTTGGCAAATGACTAATTCCTCAAATGTAGTATGCAGTATGTGAAGAACTTGGAAACCAGTCTGAATTACTTCTCTTTAACTCAAGTCTGACCTGATGAAGCTGTATGCTTCATTCAAATGTGCAAATCTGACCAAAAGGAGGTACTAGCAACCCCATCTGATCCTTAAAAAACAGTAAACATCACGTATATTTTATGTTTCCTCTGTTCGTATTTTTCATTTTTTAACAATGAAATATTTTTTTTAATTTTTTTTAACATTTATTTGTTTTTGAGAGACAGAGACAGAGTGTGAGCAAGGGAGGAACAGAGAGAGGGAGGAGACACAGAATCCAAAGCAGGCTCCAGGCTCTGGGCTGTCAGCACAGAGCCCGACACAGGGCTCTAACCCACAAACCGTGAGATCATGACCTGAGTGAAGTCGGACGCTTAACCGACTGAGCCACCCAGGCACCCCAACAATGAAATATTCTTACTACACAGATTTCTACCAGTACTGCCCAAACTAGCATCACAAGCAACAATGTTGTGTTCATTATCAATTCTAACAGGGTAAAAAAAAAAATGTTAAACTGATATAAAGAAATTCTGAGTCATATAAAACATAAATTTGGTTCTAACAAATGTTTTTACACAACAAATATTTCTGAATCATGGCCAATGATTCATTGTAACCACAATTTTATAATCAAAATATCTTTTTGGATAAATAATTCAATATAAAAACTCTTATTAATAATAATCATAGTGTAAATAAAAATACCAAGTATAATTGCTAAATGCTAGAAAGAAAAGAAGAATCTGGTTACACTGTAATACATCTTGTCACTACAGTAAATTTGTTTACTTTTTTATTATATGCCTCCCCTGGATAAAATATAAACTCGCTGAAGGAAGAGATTGTGTCTGTTTGGTATGCTGCTGTATCTCTTACACCGAGAACAACACGCATTCAGTGTGTCACTGAGTAAGTGAATGAATAACTTGTCTTCTGTGGGAATACTAGTTAGTAATACTGATACCCAGCTAAGGTTTGTGAGGAGGCTGTTCTTCTAAACAGCCATAGCCCATACTTCCTGCGGTAAGATATTTGGGAAAGATGTTATTTGATGTGTGTCAACTAAAATATAAAATTCTAAAACACTGGTATCTTTTTACCAGACTCTAAATCTTTTTTTTTTTCCAAATATGCAATTCTTTTTTTTTTTTTTTACAAATAGTTTATTGTCAAATTAGTTTCCACATAACACTCAGTGCTCATCCCCACAAGTGTCCTCCTCTATGCCCATGCCCCCCTCCCCCCCCCACATCCATCAGTCCTCAGTTTTTGTCAGCATTCAAGAGTCTCTCATGGTTTGCCTCTCTCCCTTTCCCCCACCATTTTCGCCCTTCTTCTCTCCCTTGTTCCTCCTTCAAGTTCCTCCTAATCCTCCTATACGTGCAAACATATGATATTTGTCCTTCTCTGCCTGACTTATTTCTCTCATCATAACACCTTCAAGTTCCATCCATGTTGCTACACTTGGCCAGATTCCATTGTTTCTCATTGCCATGTAGTATTCCATGGTATAGATAAACCACATCTTCTTGATCCATTCATCTGTTGATGGACACTTAGGCTCTTTCCATAACAGACTCTAAATCTTTAAAGTCTTGAAATTAAATATTTTTAGTCTTTCCTAATAAAACACTTCCTTATTAAATGACTCACAGATACCAGTAGCTTAAAATCTTTCATATTATCTTACTACTTATAAGAACTATATTTTAAAAGTAAAACGCTCTTCACATCTTTGTGTACCTTCTAAGCAATTTTTAAGTATTATTATAACACCTGATTCTATGAGAAATAACTCATTTTCCTGGAGAAAATGTCTCCCGTTTTGATAAAATGTCATAAATGTACCTTTCTGCAGTGGCAGACTCCTCAGAAAATTCAGTATCTGTGGAAGTTTTCCTGCTATTATTGGACCTCCATGATGATGCCAAAGGAAGTTCTTCTGAAGACATAGGCCTTGGCCTCTGGCCTATCCCAGACGGCTGCTGTAAACCTGCAGACTGTTCCTCGGTGCTTAACACAGCTATAATTGCTCTTATGGTAGCTTCATCAACTTGAGACCAAGGTTTCGATGGAGCTCTCATTCGGCGTAAAAATAAGCTGTGCCACTTCTGTCTGAGCTGCAGCAATAAACTAGCTGCCTGTAATAAAAGTTCCCTCAGTTCAAACAGATACAAGCAAAATATATACCCACTTCCGAGACACCTATTTAGTTATTAGTTAAGGTCTGCAGCTTTCCAAAAACCACTCTGCAACTTGTAAGGAAGGAATGTATTAAAACATACATTTCATATAATTTACTATCAATTTCATTCTTTTTGCTGCACAAATGAGATAAAATTTCTTATTTGCCATACTGGAGGCACGAGAGGCACAAAATCAAATGCAACAGTCTAATGGAAGAGACGGCAAACAATGTGTGGCAGAGTGTGACTAAAACTGGAAATAGTTAACAGCACAGTAAATAAAGAAAAATACATTTAGTTCCATTCACATTTTACGTTAGTGCCTACAGAACATCCGAATGATGATGCCCAGAAGGCAGCTAGATTCACAGGTCCACAGAGAGGCCTAAGCTAAAAGTACAGACAGACTTGGGAGTCATCAGTGCGTTAGAGGTTACTGAATCTACACACAGAGGTAAGGTCCCTGGAGATGGTGCAGAGACAGGAAAAGAGCAGAGTAAAGCCCAGAGCAGTGGAGAACATCGGACATTAAAGGCACAAACACATACAGAAGAGTCTGTGAAGGACCTAAGAAGGAATGACCTTTCAAGCAAGAAGAAGAATCAGGTAACTTATGACAAAGAAGTTGGGACAAAGAAGATAAAATCTTCATCTTTCCCAATTCAGAGATATACAAAAAGAGAAAACAGAATGAACTCTTATCGTTCCCTTAGACACTCACTTCTTTCTTAGTGCCCATTAAGCACTCTTAAAACGGAGTGCTTGTGTACCCAACGCTCCGTATTTTCTTATATACACAGAAACGTTCAAATATCACTGTGCTTACATATGAGCCACACCAAGGCTTTTCAAATCCTCTATTAAAATAAACCCCAGTATGTCAGAGTATGCATGAGTGCCCCATAAAAACTGAAAAGCAAACAATATTCTCAAGTACTAAGGGCTCAATAGTAAAAACATCATTTTCATCTTACTGTATGTCAACTGACACTAACGGAACGAAAGAAACTTACCACACTACTGAAAAGCAACTTACCTCAGGCTCTAGTTTGAAATTAAGCCACTCATCAAGTTTCAAAGCTGCCAAATTAGCAGTAGTTCTATCTTCCATTTCACTATCACTACTGTCATTAGGAACACCATCTGCTGTTCAAACACATACCGAAAGGAAAAACTTTCACTCTTACCACCATAAAGCAAAAGAACTGAGTAAACACAGAGACTCTGTATTTACACAAATCCTCCAGAGTAATAGTCTGGGTGTGGCGCTCTTCAAAGCTGACAGTTCACAAAATTAAGCCTCAATACTTATAAAAAGGGGGGAAAAAAGACAAGTTATTTTAAAGACGATGATCTCTAACCAAAATGCAACAAAATAAATCTGATCTGAAGTGGGCTCCAAGCTAATGGCAGGGCTCAAACTCATGAACCATGAGATCATGACCTGAGCCACGCACTTAACCAACTAAGCCACTCTGCCACCCCAGGAACATTTTATTAATTTTTTTTAGTATTTATTTTTGGGAGAGCACAAGTGGGGGAGGGGCAAAGAGAGGAGGACAGAGGATCAGAAGTGGGCTCTGCACTGACAGGCTGACATCAGTGAGCCTAATGTGGGGCTCGAATTCACAAATCACAAGATCATGACCTGAGCCTAAGTCAGATGCTCAATAGACTGAGCCACCCAGGCGCCCCCCCAGGAACATTTTAAATGCATTATGCCACTTTTAAGTGATAGAATATTTTGCAGCCATTAATATAACAGAATGTAAAATAACTTACTATGTAAAAATATTACATATAATTTTATTTTATTTTTTAATGTTTATTTTTGAGAGAAAGAGAGAGAGAGAGAGCACAAGTTGGGGAGGGGCAGGGAAAGAGGGAGACACAAAATTCAAAGCTGCTCCAGGTTCTGAGCTGTCAGCACAGAGCTGCATATGGGGCTTGAACCCACAAACTGTGAGACTGTGACCTGAGCCATAAATGGTGGATTAACCGACTAAGCCACCCAGGTGCCCCTACATATAATTTTAAAATAATATTAAAAGGTGCTTGGATAAGGAAAATGAGATCACAGGTCACTATTAATATCATTTCCCTTAAACAATTACCTTTATTTATGTTAAAAGGTTATTTAACTTCAAGTGGGAGAGAAAAATAAACCTCCTATGAGCAAGATTAATCAAAAATACACAAATCAATACCACGTTACCTTTGGAAATCAATTTTAAGAATTGAGGTAAACTTTAGTATTTTCCAATTAGTCTTACTATTTCAAAAGGGAGCCACTGCTATGTAAATTTGTGTAATTTCAAAATTTATTTGTTCCAATAAGAAAAATCATTTCAAGTAGATTTTTATTTCCTTGCTACTCCATTTACCTCGAAACGATGCCGGTTCCTGGAGAGCATTACTTGCCAACCTCGCTGGCCCACAGAATACCAATACAGTGACGGGTGTCACCGCTGAACAACAGCGGATGTTAGCTATTCTATGCGCCCGGGTCATTTCATCATAAATAAGCCAATCTGTAGGCAGGGCCTGAACTGCTGCAGCCTGACCATTGGCTGGAGGAATCTAATAGAAAAAGAAATTGAAGAATTGTTGACTGTATGCCACGTAGTTTACTGGCAATACTTTTAAAATGTAAAAAGTCCCTCAACAAACCAGAAGATGTATATTAATAGTCAAGCAAAAACTAAAGCACGTCATTGTTCATGCAGTTGGTAGTCCTCATTATCTAACACATTACCTCTTCCAACTCTAAGATTCTGTCAAAAATCTGTTCCAATGTTGAATTAGACATATGTAACTAATTAATTTCTTAAAGCAGGTGATTGATCTTCAACCAGATCAGTTTGACCTCAAGGCCTAAGAGCATTAAAAACGTTTTACCTTCTTATACTGAGGCTGACTGAGAACTGAAGTGGGATGAAACCGAACTTTCTTCTCCTTTGGCCCTGTCAGTACCACATTCTCTCTGTCCACATGGACTACATTAGGATACATGCCTGCCACCAACGCAGCTTTCACGACAGCCCAGTTCTCGGAATTTGTGTTCACATCTCGAATGTCGCCACCACCTCGTGCTCTAACAAAACCTAGAAGGAGGAAAAAAACCACACCAACTTTTTCCATTGTGCAAAATACACTTTTTTTTTTTAATGTTTTATTTATTTCTGAGAGAGAGACAGTGTGAGCAGGGGAGGGTCAGAGAAAGAGGGAGACACAGAATCTGAAGCAGGCTCCAGGCTCTGAGCTAGCTGTCAGCACAGAGCCCGATGCGGGGCTCGAACCCACAAACTGTGAGATCATGACCTGAGCCGAAGTCGGATGCTTAACCGACTGAGCCACCCAGGCGCCCCACAAAATATACTTTTAAACGTATGCATTTTTTACAAAATTCTATACAGCCCATGTAAGTTTAATGATATTCAAATTCTATGGTAATTAATAATAGTAATTATCTCTTCTGGTGAGTTTAAAATACAAATTCAATATTCTAATAAAGTTTAGGTTTGCTCACTGGGGATGTGGGACTTTAAAAAAAAATACACATTCTTGCTATAAAGTTCTTCATAAGCTGCTGTGAGAATGGTACTAAAATTTACAAAATAGAAATGTACTAAAGTCACAGCTAAAAATCTAAACCGTTCTTCTGACTGGTATTATTAATAACATTTGGTTATGACAGACATGAATTCTGCAGTGAAGACAAGTAAACATATCCTTGCTTGAATTTCCAAAGCCCTTCATATTGCCCAATACTTGCAACAACTCGAAATACCTTCGGCTCGTTCCTTACATTACTTTGACACATTAGCTAATGTATGAATCCAGGCTCTGGTAGTCTTCTTTGGCTATTTTTTCAATGTGGTATGCTACACAAAAGGAAGTCTAAACATACAATTCTATAAGGACACGGCAATACTGGCATTCTCTCTTTTTAAAAAACTAAGTGATTACTAGTTGTTCTATGTTCCAAAAACATGAAGACCAGCATTCAGATCAACCTACGTACATTTTTTTAACTTCTATTTCACAGAGCTAAATAATTGTTTATTACTACTAATAAAGCAGAACTACCATACTTAAAATGATCTTTGCCAACAATTACAAATTGCTCACTGCCTATAGTATCAAATGGTATTCATAGATTTCTCAGCTCCAAGCCTCTTCGATATCATTTTTTAAATCAAAAAACAAATGCTAAGATCACACAGGAGTCTACAAAGCAGTTCATAAATACATGATCTACAACAATGTGAAAACATCCTAAAAATAATATAAGTTGGAATCAGCTAACATTACAAGTGCTATGAGATATATGTAGGGTACTCTCAGTGGTCTAAATAGGTCCTTTGGGAAAACCTTTACCTGATGCTCTAAGTTGACCAAGCAACTGAGTTCTCATGCCGATGATTATTTCCATGGTAGCTTGCGAAAGAAAATTCTTCTCACAAAAGGCGCGCTCCCACCCATCACTTCGTGCTTTCTGCCACGCCTACAAAAAATATAATTATATAACAAGATACATTTACCAAACTGCTTAGTTAGGCAGCAAAGTAACTGAAAGCCACTACATTAATCACTCAAGGTCAATTCTCCTTCTAATTATTTGATAAAATTTAGGACTTCATTAAAAAAACAAAACTAGGTGCCTGGGTGACTCAGTCGGTAAAGCGTCTGTCTTCAGTTCAGTTCATGATCTCATAGTTTGTGGGTTCGAGCCCTGTGTCAGGCTTTGTGCTGAAAGCTTGGAGCCTGATGCCTGCTTTGGATTCTGTCTCCCTCTCTCTGCCCCTCCCTGACTTGTGCCCTCTCTCTCTCAAAAATAACCAAACATTTATAAATAAATAAACATAACTCAAAGACACAGAGAACAGATCGGTACTTGCCAGAGGACAGGAAGGAGAGAAGGTAAAATGGATGAAGGGGGTCAAAAGATACAAACTTCCAGTTACAAAATAAAGTCCTGGGGAGGTAGCTGTAGTACAGCATGGTAACTATAGTTAACACTGTATTGTATGTTTGAAAGTTGATGAGAGTAGATTTTTTTTGTCCACTTTTTTTTATTGAGGTATCACTGACATTTAACATTATACTTATTTCAGGTATATAAAATAGTGATTCAATATTTGTATATTATTACTGTGAAATTATCACAAGAAATCCAGTTAACATACCAGAGAGTAAATCTTAAAACTTCTCATTACAAACAGAAAAAAAATTTGTAACTATATGCAGTGATGAATGTTAATAATATGTCAATAATACCTCAATTTTTTAAATTAAAATTTAAAAATTAAATATAGAAAGGTAAAATCTATGATTTTATGATCAAATAAAATGTATCATTAATTTATACTCAAATGCTATTGAAGCCACTGAGTTTCTATAATCCCAATGAGAACTAAGTATCCTTTAATTTAAATGACCAGCTGTGTAAAAATATTTACCTTTTCAGATGTGTCTGCGTTTGTAACTAAGCGGTCATGAACACCATTTTATCTAAGCATCTGCCACTCCAGTCCTCCAAAAATAAGCTCTATATTAACCTCTTAATCTATCTTAGAATGAGAAGTGGGGTTTCTAGAAACCATCCATATGTAGTACAGGAAAACTCCTCTTCGAAAATGACTTTTCTTGCTTTGGGATATAACTGAAAGACCAAAGCAATAATTTATCCTCCTCGCTCTTAAAGGAGCTGAGGAAAAAGCAAAGAATACATAGGAATTCTATTCCAAATCTCCCTCCAATTACTATCTACTCAACTAATCTACTATAATACATGGTACCTAACAGACTCAATAGTGTCTATTGTCATTGCATTATCAGTAACAGGGCTCACAAAATAGCTTGCCGGTATTTTTTTAAACTGTATATATTGGAAAAATCTTCTATGTGTAAAAAACAGTCACTTTTGCATAAGCAAAATGAAATTTTTTTTTATGTTTATTTTTGAGAGAGAGAGAGTGAGAGCGTGCGCGTGAGCACAAGCAGGTGAGGGGCAGAGAGAGAGGGGGGAGACAGAATCTGAAGCAGGCTACAGGTTCTGAGCTGTCAAGACACAGCCCCACGCGGGCCTCAAACTCCCAAAAAGTGAGATCATGACCTGAGCAGAAGTCGGCACTTAACCAACTGAGCCACCCAGATACCCCAACAAAATGAAATTTAAAAAAAATATATAGTCATGGCCTACATTCAAGAGAATTTAAGAATACCTTTTTAAGAAAGAACATATTCTGGGGCACCTGAGTGGCTCAGTCGGTTAAACGTCTGACTTCGGCTCAGGTCATGATCTCACGGTTCGTGGGTTCTAACCCCGCATTGGACTCTGTGCTGACAGCTAGCTCAGAGCCTGGAGCCTGCTTCAGATTCTGTATCTCCCTCTCTCTCTGATGCTTCCCTGCTCACACTGTCTCTCTCTCAGAAATAAAACATTAAAAAAAAAAGAAAGAACATATTCTTCCCCACATACCTAAAATTTTAAATTACATATCATTTCCTTTCCTCAGGTCCTATTTTCCTTATCTTTTCTTTGTTTATCACATTCCTCAATTTCTAACTACTGTTAACTTAAAAAGTTTTAAGCGATATTGAGTTTATTTTATAATATTAAGTTCTTAGCATAGTGTCTTGAGCACACAAGAGTAAGACATACTCAAAAAAAAATCAATAAATAGATATTAAATTCAAGGTAAGTTTCTTCCTAGGTTTGTTCTACATACTTTGAATAATATACATTGTCTCTTTTTTTTTTAAGTTTATTTATTGTGAGAGAGGGGGAGGGGCAGGGAGAGAATCCCAAGCAGGTCCATGCAGTGTGGAGCCCGACACAGGGCTCAAACCCACAAACTGTGAGATCATGACCTGAGCCAAACTCAAGAGTCAGATGCTTAATCAACGAAGTCAACCAGGCACCCCATAATATACACTGCTTCTCAACTAAAATTTGAGGGCACTGCCTGCCCATGAGAGTGGATGTGATTAAAAGATAAGGAACTTGGGTATTAAAAAATATATAAAATAAAAATACATACAGACACATATTCCTATAAGAAGAAAAGAGAGAAAATGAAAGGAAAAAAGGGTACAGAAAAATAGTGGTAATTTTAACAAATGGACAGCAGGAAGGTATTTTTCTGAGCCATTCACAAAATGTGACTTTATAAGGAAACCAAATTAATGGAGTCCTATCACTTTTTTAATTTGTTACACTTGAGCCAGAAGTGTGTTCAACCAGCAACATGTTCAGAAATGTAATGACAGCAACGACTGGCACCTGGAATGCTCTGAGCAGTGCCATGTGGTCACTGAAAGTTCCCGCGGTGAAGCGTTTCCTACAAAGCATAGCTGCGCGCTTCTGAGAGGCCTGGGTTGGCAGCACGAAAGGGTCTCGATAGGCCAGCGTGCAGGCAATCGTCAGGATGGGGTCCAGACACTTTAACACGACAGCGCACAGGACCATTTTTCCAAGATGGGGTTCGACGGGCAGGTCGGCCAAATGATAGCCAAGCTCAGTGAGATCTTCCCACGCGTCCATCGCATCTATTGTCTAAATAAAAGCACACAAGACAGAATGAGACACGACCAAAATGTTTCATGATATTTAATCCAATTGGTAAGAAATGAAAATGTAAATTTTCTTTTGCCACATCTTACAGGAAACATAGTTTGCTTCAAATGTTTTATATAAAAAAAAGAACTACATCAACTGTTTTTACTGTCATTACTGTGAGGGTATTATTCAATATGTGCTTCTTTAAGATAATCTTTTTAAGTACGAAAATTAGGTAAGATGCATTCTCACTTTAAATTTCAAGCAAAATCAGTAAAATGAAAACTGTGAAGACACCAACCTTAAGCATTTGTACAGCATTTCTTACAATTAAAGCAGGTGGAGGTTCAGGAGCTTTCATCAGGAAATCAGCAATAGGACAATTAACTGGGGCTAACAGTTTAGTGTGTAAACAAAGTTCCTGCAAATAAGAACAGCGAACAATGTTGAAATATTGAAATTTATGGTGATTTTGATTGTTTTTTTTTAGATTTTGTTGCGTTTTATTGCTTTTTCGGTGATTTTGATTTTTAAAGAAGTCATGGGAAACACAGGCCCCAAACAGACTGTAGATCCTCTGATTTAAATGAACAGTAGAAGGAACCATGTCCTTCTATGAAAGACAGGCTCTGACCTTGTCGTAGGTGCCAGAACTTTAATATAATAAACACCCTCCATTACATCCTATCAAGATTACCATTGCCCACACTCGCAAGGTCTCCTCACGCAGTTCTTATACATAACAGTAAGAGTTATTGTCCAAAAGAATCTTTTTTTCCCTTTGTATGACATTCTAGAATCTTTTATCCATTCAGCAAAGTGCTTACCAGGTGCTAGGGACTATGCGGCAAGTTGGAAGAAAAAGACAAGGGTTTCCCCTGGTGGGTTTTTCATTGTGTGGGAAAAACAGAATAATGACACAATTAACTACTTAGTTACAATTTTTATTAAGTGCTGTGACAGATACAGAGAACTATTTAATCAAGTTCAGGAAAGGGCAGAAAGAGGCCATGGGAAGTCAAAGACAACATCTCTGGGGAAAGGCACTTAAACTGGGATGTAATGATTGAGTCGGAAGTAATTATCAAAGAAACAAGGGGGAGGATTCTAGGGAGAGGGGAGCACACAGACAAAGGCCCTAAGATAGAAACAAGGCGTGCTTGAAAAATTCAAACTACTCGTCTGAGCAGAGAGAGAAAGACAAGATGTCAAAAATTAAAACTAGAGACACTGGAAGGAAAGATAGAGAATTTAGGCTCTTGCTAAGAGTTTTGTATTTTATCCTAAAACCAGGGGCATGGAAAAATGGGAAGCCATCTAGGTACACGGATACCAAAAACATGATCCAGTTTCTCTTGAAAGGTTTGGAAGCCAACATCCAGCTCAGTGCACCAGATAATCAAATTAATGTACTTCCAGTAGTTTTCCCTAGAAACTACAATATCTGGCTGTTCCGTGAAGTCAGAAAACCTAAAGCAAAGTTTTAATAAAGGCCAGGAAATCTCAGCGGACTCCCTTCCAAACTACCACGGTAATCTCAGCATCTTAAACTGAGATGGTGGCATTATCTTTTTGATCTTAAACAATTTGTTTTCTAATCCTCAATGAGATTGTGAAAGGTGAACACAATGTGGCTGTCAGACTTCTAAAATGTTACATTAAAAAAAGAAGTATTTATAAACTGTACCATAATTTAAATGCATTCAAGAATGCAATTCTTTAAAATTTTGGAGGTTTATGGATTAAATTTTCTTATATGGGAAAAAAATAGTAGTTAGGTACATAACCACCCTATATAATATACAATTTTATAATTTTGTCTTATGAGTTGATTATTTAAAAGTCCAACTGATATAAGTTAAAACAGTCCCTTTCTCCTCTGTCACCCACAAAAATAGCTTTTTAGAATTTAGTAAATTTCTACCTGTAATGGCATTCTCAGAAGTTCTGGAGTCTGAAATTCCAACATATTCTGGAATCGGAGTCTGCTGAAGAGCCGGAAACAAACTCCAGGTCTACATCTCCCTGCCCTTAAAAGTGAAGTAAAAAATTGAGATTCACATAAGGAATAAAGACTATACCAAGGAAACGATGAAAGCAGTGTGCCAAGGACACAGAGCAATGGGCCAGGGTCAGGACATCTGAGTGCAAATCCCTCCTGTGATACTGCTCCCCTCTGATTCTTTCCAGAAGGCACTTTACTCATCTGCAACTCATTTGTAAAAATTCATGAATGACACTTACCTAATATACCTTCTAGGGAAATTATTAAAAAAATGTTTTTTCAAGTAACATATATGAGAGTAAAAATAATGGAAAAAATACATGGTAATTTAAATTTCATCAGCTTTGTATATGTAAGTGATGAATCACTGAATCCTACTGCTGAAACCAATACTGTACTGTATGTTAACTAACTAGAACTTAAATAAAATTTTGAAAAGAAAATAAATAAATGTCATTGGCTTTCTGGAACTGACACAGCACTGTGCTCAGAGTTCAGCGCATACGCCACTGTGTAGAACTGCGCAAAACAAGCATTAAACAACTCTCAGGGAGCATCATTACACCCCGCCACCATACAGACTTGTATCATTTTCTGGGAAGCAGCAGAAAAATATCTTGAAGAAAAGCAGTCTCTTTTAATTTCACCCACGGTCACCATATCTGCTAACAGCAAGGCTGAATATGCTAAGTGAGAGAGAGTAGAAATATCCCTATGCTCCCAAAGCTTACAATCCAGACATAATAAACATAATAAATACATAATAAACATAATAAAACACACTGTTGTGGTTACAAAGTTAGAAAACATTAGACACAGGACCACCGTTCCTTCATCAGCACTTTCCTCACTACCAATCCATCAGCTTTCCCTCCTCTCCTGCCTCTTCTGAACTATCTCTGTCTTTCACCTGTCCTTAAATGTAGATGTTCCTGTGAGGCTGGACCTCAGCCCTGGGCTCTCCTGCTCTACTCTCTCTCCCAAGGGGATCGTAATTATCCTCCTGACTTCAATTTCCATCCACTGAGATCTCTTCACCCTAACCATACACCTACACTTCCGAAACCTTTAGCTCCACCTGGATTTTCCAAACAAACTCAATACAACCAAAAGTTCATTCTACTCCCCAACAGAACCACTATTCGCACTTTCTCTTACAACAGCACCAACATCCACAAAATTTTGAAGACAGACACCTGTATGACATGCTGGACTCCACACTATTCCATACCCCTTAGTATCTCTTAAATGAATTATCTACTTTATTTCTCCACTATCACAATCCACACTTACTGTCATCTCTCCCTTATTTTAAATGCAAGTATCCTCCTACCATCAGTTTTGTCTCTGCCAATTCATTCTTCAAAGAGCTGAAAGACTACAATCATCATGCCATCCTCCGGTTTATTAAGGAGAAAGAGAAAACACAAAAGGGTCCTTAAAGACCTGTCCACATCTTACCTCTTTCTCTTCATTTTTTACTATGATCCTCTAAACTAAACTCCATCCAAACAACTTTCTTGCTCATTCTTGCCTTCAGGCCTTTGCCTATGTCTTGCCTCTGCTAGAAAAGCCTTTCGACAACACCTCTTTATTCACATTTATCTCAGATTCTACCGTAACTCCTCTAGAAGCATTATCCAATTGTAGCACAAATCACATAGTGTTAAAATCGCTTACTTTAATGGATTCCAAGATGGACTACACCATTCCTCCCACCTCAAACTCTACTCATCAGACTCTATTCATCATTGTACCCTAACACACAGTGAAGGCTGTCAAAAAATATCTGTTGAAAAAGATGACAAGGAAAATTTCTACAATTTCTGATTTTCATCCCTGATAATATACTATTAGCTTATAAACCCAGCTCAATGTATCAAGCCACACCCTACCATAAGGAAACAACTGGGAGGGTAATAGCAACATGCCCCCAAGAACATCCTATGAAATTATAAAGTACAGAAATAATGCATCCACCATCTTCAGCATAAGAGGAACTGCTTTAAAGTATCTGATGTTTTTCTACTAGTTAAAATAAAAGAAAAAAATCAAATGATTACTGAAAAATATACTTTTTAATCTTTCCTTTTTTATTTTATTTTATTTTTTTAATTTTTTTTAATGTTTTATTTATTTCTAGCAGAGAGAGAGAGACAGCATGAGCAGGGGAGAGTCAGAGAGAGAGGGAGTCACAGACTCTGAAACAGGCTACAGGCTCTGAGCTGGCAGTCAGCACAGAGCCGGACGCGGGGCTCGAACCCACGAACCGCAAGATCATGACCTAAGCGAAAGTCGGACGCTTAACCGACTAAGCCACCCAGGCGCCCCAAATCTTTCCTTTTTTAAAAGGAAAAAGTAATGCAAGCATGTTATTTATTTACTAAAATAAGTAACCAAACTACAAAGAAATAAAAATTAAATCTCCTTCAAGAGCCCCACAAATCCACCTTCTCAGGGTCAACAATTGTTTTTTAATGTTTCTCTCAAACTTGACAATGCATTTGTGCCTAAATATACATTGGGGCCCCTGGGTAGCTCCATCAGTTAAGCATCCGACTTCCGCTCAGGTCATGATCTCACATTCGTGGGTTTGAGGACCGCATCGGGCTCTGTGCCGACAGCTCAGAGCCTGGAGCCTGGTTAGGATTCTGGGTCTGCCCCTCTGCTGCTCACACTCTGTCTCTGTCTCTCCCTCTCGCTCTCAAAAATAAATAAACATTAAAAATTTTTTAAAAATAAAATAAAAATTAAAATGTCTATGTATACATATTCAGCACAAGCAAACACTATTAGATGCCTGTTCTACACCTTACTTTTTTCAGTTAATAATATATTCTGACCACTCATTCTATATAAAAATACATACATCTACATCTTTCCTTTTGACACTTACCTAGTATGTAACTGTGTGATGACAGCATGATTTAACCACAATACTTCACTAGTGACAAACATGACAATGTCCTCAGATTCTTCCCTATCACAAGCAATGCTGCAGAGGGCAGCCTTAAACACATCTCTGCACAAAGTGCACATGTACACTCAGGACAAACTATGAGAAGTAGAATCCACCAGCAAAGGGTAGATTTGGATCAACAGTTTCAAACTATCCCGTGAAGAAGTCACACCAATTTACACTTCCATCAGCAAACCACAAAAGCTTACTGGCCTATGCTCCTGCCAACTCTGTTGTATGTACTGTTAAGCATTTTCATCAAGGGTGCCTGGGTGGCTTAGTCGGTTAAGCGTCCGACTTTCGCTTAGGTCATGATCTCGCAGTTCATGGGTTCGAGCCCCACATCGGGCTCTGTGCTGACTGCCAGCTCAGAGACTGGAGCCTATTTCAGGGTCTGTACCTCCCTCTCTCTCTGACCCTCCCCTGCTCATGCTGTCTCTCTCTCTCTCTCTCTCTCCTAGAAATAAATAAAAATATTAAAAAACAAAACAAAACATTTTCATCAATGCCAATCTGGTGATAAGCAAAAAATATTACCTCATTAATTTACATTTCTTTTGTTAGATAGGAGGTGATATACGTGAGGTTAATGTACTGGTCTTTACAGACTGGTTTTGAAGGGGTTTTTTTGCAAAATACAGAAATTAGCTCTTTGTACTATATAGCAAATGTTGAAGATACTTTCCATTTAATTTTGTTTTTTAAGTTTCTTACCTCTTCTGAGTATAGATTACACTGGGCAAAAAATTTTAACATAAGCTGAATTCAACCTTTAAAAAAAGTATATTTTAAAATGGACTGCTTTGCAAAAATAATATAAAAATTAAGACTAACATGAAAAGTTTAACATCTTATAGAAAGCAGAATATATGTTAAATATGTAATATGTATCAAAATGTTTCCAAAATTTCATAGGCAATTTATCAATATTAATGTACATTAAATATACATTACCTGCCTTTTCGTTGTATGGCACTAGCTTTGGAAATCCACACCATTTTTAACATTGTAACAAAATTCAGTGCATCAAAGGATTTCTGTAATATTTAAGTTATCTTTGTGTTAAAACTTTTGTAAAAGGTGCTTAAGAAGAAACCCCAAGAAACATTATGAATATATTTTAACATGCCAAGTTTAATTTAAAAAGCTCCTCTTCTCCTGGGTGGCTCAGACAGTTAAGCATCCAACTTCAACTCAGGTAATGATTTCACAATTTGTGAGTTTGAGCCCCACAACAGGCTTTGTGCTGACAGTTCAGAGCCTAGAGCCTCCTTCAGATTCTGTGTCTCCCTCTCTCTCTGCCCTCCCTCACGGATGCGCTGTCTCTGTCTGTCTGTCTCTCAAAAATAAATAGGGGCACCTGGGTGGCTCAGTAGGTTAAGCATCCAACTTCGGCTCAGGTCTCATGACCTCACTGTTCATGGGTTCGAGCCTCACGTCGGGCTCTGTGCTGACAGCTCAGAGCCTGGAGACTGTTTCAGATTCTGTGTCTCTCTCTCCCCCTGCCCCTCCCCTGCTTGTGCTCTATCTTTGTCTCTCAAAAATAAATAAACATCAAAAACAAAGAATTAAAAAAAAAAACCTATTCCCTCCAACATCCTCAAAGATTCGAAAGCAAAAATTTACTATATAGAGAAATATTTTAAAAGAATGGATTCCTAACTAGAATATATACTTAATCATTCAGTGACTTACACTCTCCCTTTCATAGAATAACTATATAGAGAAAATACAAACGTGTTCTCTTATAGTTTAATTACGGGATCTTTAGAAAAGATACTACCTATTTAGGTTTTAGTAAAATGTCACATTTGTCAATTTTGTATGTCAAATAACTTCTGATGACACTATCACATATTCTAAACTATGGTTTACTTGATAAATGATACCTATAGGAATTAATTTCTAAAATACATGAAATTTACTTATCAGCTTTAGCTAATTTCAGGGCAGTGAAATCTGAAGTTTTATGGACTCACCATTCAGACTTTTAGTGATAATATTCATCAGTATCCTCTTATAAAAAAATAAAATGTATCCCTTCCTTATAATATCCAACTATAATGAAATGTCCAAATTTTATAATACAATCTTATTTTCTGTAAGATATTCCTAAAAATTACTTCGAAAGCATTAGAAAGCAATTAATAAATTTTTTTCACATTAAAATGTGATCATTTATATCTGCTAGAACAAATATCATTTGTTTCCCACAACATAGCTAGTACCTTTCCTTGAATATCAACCACCTCCATCACTTTCAATTCTTTCAGTGAAAGGACCTACCAGAGTTAAGGGCATTGAGAACTGCTGAGTATTCTAATGCTAAAGAAAATAAATGCTGTCTTTTATTTCTATTGGGTTGGCAGTAAATATTTTAGCCTTTGTAGAGGGTCTTTGTAGAGGCTGCAACTAATTCAAATCTGCAATTGCAGTGTGAAAGCAGCCACGGTCAACAGGCAGAACATGGCAGTGTTCCAAGGGAAATTATTTTTATAAAAGCAGGAAATGAGCCCATGTGGCTGCTCTCATTTGCTGACCTCTGTTTTTGTTCACTTGCTCTTAGTATGTTCTTCAGAACGAAGTATCTTTTGAGTACTGGCTACATATGGAGCACCAGAGATTAAACAATGAACAGGAGGGACATGGTCCATTCCCACATGTAGAAGGAAAGCATACAAAATATGTAATCAAACCCCCACACGGTGACAAAATTCTCAGGGTAACTAGCCAACCTTTTACTTTCTTCCTAGTATTTAATCAGCAGAAGCTCATTTTTTAATATAATTTTGTGACACTAACTGGATCCTATATTCTGAACAGTTTAAGTTAAAATATTCACTTTAGAAAATCAACGACTACTATGGTAAAATCAGACAGAACCAGAAATTAAAAGTGAATTCTGCTTATAGATGCATTTATTGGAATCTAACTTAACCTTCTTCATTGACATAAAATACAACTCCTCCAACATACCTCTTTCACCTTACCGGAATCAATGACAAAGACAACATCATTGACTGTGATGCTGGTTTCAGCAATGTTGGTGGAAAGGATCTGCAATGGAATGTTGCTACGGTTAATACGAAAACAGGACCAACGACTAAGAAAATGGACAAAAGAAGATTTTATCAAGCTTACTATTTTTCGAACACCGGCAGGTGGGTTTTTCAATACCTTCTTCTGATCAGATGTTTGCATATTTGAATGAAGCATGAAGACTTGATATCTGTTGACAATGAAAGGGAAAAGACACTATGGTACCCATCCGTTACTTAAAGCAGCAAATGTAAAGCTTTAGCTTTTACCTGTGCGTGTTGTCAGCAAACCGCTTGTCATCAAACAGGATGCGATCTCTCAGTCCAACAATTTCATCATACCCAGGTAGGAATATTAATATTGCACCTTGGAGAAGAATAATTTTTTAAAATATAATCTCTGCTTTTACAAACCAGAACCAATCAACAGAACCATCTATAATCAACTATATCACATTTTCAGGGACTAATCAACTGTAATATTTATGACGCGTAAGAGATTTATGCAATACTGCCAATGGAATTACACAAAAATCTGTACACATAAAATAGTAATTCTGAAATTGAAGCATACAGTGCTGTTCCAGTTGGTTTAGACAGCAGTTATTTACCAGCATCGCAACCATGGCAGATATTGTATAGAAGGTGCATGATCAAGTCCAAGTCTACTTTTTCATCATCAAAACTGTGATGATACGCTTTCAGGAGCTCTCTGTCTTCTGCACTGAGGTCACTCCCGTTTGTGTGAACCAAAGAACTTTCATCCATATTTCCAAATTCCAGTGAAGCACTAGGAAAAAAAAAACAAAAACAAACCTTCAATTTTCATCAAAAAGAGGAATCCTTTAAGGCCAACAATTCCCATGATGTCCTTCTTCAAATGTTAAATACACCCTAAAGAGGGTAAGTGATACTTAATGTCTCAGCTACAGTCCATGTTTTGGTTTACAGTACATTCTCCAAAGTAAAATTTGTCTGTAAGTGATTTTTGAAAACACAACCTGAAGATGTTTCTCCAAAGACAATATACAAATTGCCAATAAACACATTGAAAAGATGTTCAACAACATTAGTTACCACAGAAGTGAAAATCAAAACCACAATGAATACTACTTCACACCCACTTGAAGGACTACAAACAAAAAAACAAGAAAGTGAGTGTGGAGAAACTGTAACCATCATACATTGCTGGTGGGAGCATAAAATGATGAAGCCACTTTGAAAAACAATATGGCAGCTCCTCAAAATGTTAAACACAGTGTCACCACATGCGCCAGCAATTCCACTCCTCAGTATATAAACAAGGGAGATGGAAATACAGGTCTACGTAAATATGTGTACACAACTGTTCATACCAGTATTATTCATAAGAGTCAAAAACTGGAAACAACACAAATGTTCATCAACTGATGAATGGTTAAACAAACTGATGTATCCACAGAGTAGATTATTAGTCAGAAAAAGGACGCCTGCTACAATATGGTTGAACCTTGAAACATTATGCAAATGAAAGGAGCCAATCACAAAAAGACCAGGTATTACATCATTCCACTTAGATTAAGAGTATGGAATAGACAAACCTACAGAAACAGAAGGTATACTAGGTGTCTAGAAATGGAAGAGTTGGGTTTTTTTTTTTTTTTTTTTGGAGAGGGGTAATGAAAATGTTCTCAAAACTGACTGTGGTAATGACTGGATAACATGGGTGAACTATGTGATATGTGCACTTTATCTTAACAAAACCTAAAAGACACAAAATTTTAATCATCATTTACATTTTCTTAATAGGCTGATTCTAATTATTCACTTTATAAACAATACTCTGAAGAAAAGTCCACATTAAAAAAAAACAGACATAATTCTACAGGTACCAGCTTAACATGACTGCTAATTTGGTAATTCTATTCTAAAAGCAGATTGGTTATGCTATTTTCCAAAGGCCCAGAATCAGCATAAATTAAATAACAGCTTGTTTCTTCATCTTCTATGTAAAAATATAAACTACTGCCATCACTAGTAACTAACAATAAGATTTCTAGAAGTTCAGTTCAGCCCATTTCTCTTAAAGAGCTTAGCAGAAAAATCAGCCTGCTCTCAATAAGAAAAATATTAAACTTGTAGTATTTTAAATTTAAGACCCATTTTAAAATATTCCAATTTTTTTTTTTTTTTTTTACTTCTTAATAGGTAAATGAAGAGGGTAGTATGTTCTTTGTTTAAAGCTCTAACTTTAGGGAAGCCTGATTGGCTCAGTCAGTTGAGCACCCAACTCTCGATCTCGGCTCAGGTCATAACATAGTCATGGGATGGAGCCCTACATCAGGCTACATACTAGGTGTGGAACCTGCTTGAGACTCTCTCTCCCCCCCTCTGCCGCTCTCCCCAATTAACACCCTCAAAAACAAAACACTAACTTTACATATCAATTATCAATAATCTAACATTTTATTAATAAATTTAATTTTAAATATTTAAAATAGATGATTGATAATGTCATGATCTGTGGACTAAAAAGAAAGCCCAGTTAGCCAGGATAATTAGGATATTATCCCAATAACTACTGTATTTGGTAAGCTATGGTGTCTACTGAGCTACTTCTAGCATGCTAAGAAAGTCTAGAGCATTCAAAGTGTTAGCACTAAAAGGACTACAAGTTCTGGGTGCTATTTACTGAAATGACAGCAAATCCTGCCTCACCATAATTAGCACTGGATCTGCTAAGAATGACTCTAAACATCATTATCATTTAACTGAAATTAAAACAAGACTAATTTCATACTTCAAACATTTACTTCATCTGCCATCTGAGACTATGTAGAATTAAATACGAAAACCCAATTCAGATAAACATTTATATGTTCTTCAATAAAAGGTGTTTTAATATATGTTAACTTCAAATTCTATTTTTTTTCATTTTTGATTCTTACAAGTTAAAAACAGATAGATGCCATCCATGTATTACTAAACACATTTTCTTCAGGTACCTTTTCCTTTAATAAAATATCTTTTTCTTCTCTTAAGATATCTAATCCAAAATCTACACAATCTAACCTTAATTTACCTAAAACCATTGTTCAATGACCAAAATGAAGGATTCGTTTCATAGGATTTTGAAAGTATTGTCCGATTCTTCTTTCTTAAATCAAAGGAATGCATATACATAGTGTTAATAAAGAAATGGTTTGCTAAAAGTTACAATAAATATCCCTCTCATGGGTGGGGGATGGGCTAAATGGGTAAGGAGCATTAAGGAAGACACTTGGGATGAGCGCTGGGTGTTATACGTAGGGTATAAGTTCCTGTTTTATAACACATTGTTTCTGTTTCATGAATACTTTCTATTAGTTTTTCAAGTTTTCTTCTGGCTACTAATGCTTAGTTCCATCCAAGTTCCGGGTTTTTTGGTTGCTATTGTGGTTTGTTGGATTGTGGGTGCTTTTCCCCCTCAAAGATACCTGGTGATCAATGCTCAACAGTTTGTTCACCTTTAAAGATAACGCAAAAAAAAAAAAAACCCTCCATGTGCACAGATGGTCACTGCTGAGCTATCTGGTTTAAAAGATGGTCATTTCACTGAAGGAATACCCAGCCTTCTATAATTCTAATTCTTTTCCTTCAGTTTGGTCTGTTTTCTCAGGGGAGAATTCTCAAGTTTTCTGCTAAAACACATAAGCTTCAAACAGGAAAAGGTGACAGGGATAGCAGTGGAAGGGAGAAGATGGTATGTCAACTTTCAGTCTTTAGACTTTCCTGTTTGACGCCCCTCACTCCTACCCTTCCACTGTGCCTGGTAATTCCAAGTCCAACATTTCCGCGGCTTGATTTCTTCATATATGTCCCACTTCCTGCCAAGGCAGTGGAAGCGGTATCATCTGGTGGAGTGGAAGTGGGAATCTGGAATTCTAAATGTTCCTCACAGAGAATTTCAATCAATTCTGGGTTTTGTTGTGTTTTTTGTTTTTTGTAGGGGGGAGGGTTTGTTTTGTTTTGTTTTTTGGCCCTTTCTTTCAGTGTCATTCAGAAGTAGTTCAGTGAGCCTCTAAGAAGCTAAAATGAATCTGATTCTCACTGGCATGTCCCTCTGCAGGCGCCGAGGTTTCAATTTTCTCAGCTCTGCCATGTCAGCCACCACCGATCCACTAGCCTTGTATTACCCAAAAATTTAATATCTTCCATCAGCTGCAATGACCTCTTCTAATCTCTTTCACTTTATTAGCTTGCACATTCCTTACTTACCATTTCAATGATGTTTTGGGAAAATGCAAAGGTAAATTACATGTGTTTTGGCTATCATGTTTAACTGGAAATCCCCCTCCTATTTGTCAAAATAAAATAAATTATTACAGTATAGTAGATCTTACCAGCACCCTAAAAAAACAATTTCCTTTCCTTAGAATTCCTTACAATTCAAAAAACAACAACAAACACACAAAAGAAAATCTCTGAATAAGAGTCTGTAGCCTACAGTGTCATATTCTATGATTCTCATGGCCAAGCTTGTAAAAATGAAGGTAGGGTTAATTAAGCACAGAATAAAGTTTTACCTGTAAGATTCCAGAAGATCCACAATTTCAGTCTGTCCAAAGTGTTTCGCCCAATCTAAAGCCATCCTGCCAAAATTCAAAGGCATCAAATTATTAGATAGATGATGTTTTCAAAATTATAAAACTAGTCATATTATTCAGTCACCCATTAGAGATGTTCCAGCAATGATTATAGAACAGCTTTTAACAGAAAGGCAAACCTAAAAATCAAAGACGGTATGTGTAGCTACACCAAGACACATAGGGAATGGATGTTGTTCGCCATTACCAGCCATTCGATGCTTTACTGTGCACGTTGGCTCCCATGCTGATTAACTGCTCTACTTGACTGGAAAAGCCTCGTCCAGCAGCGACCATCAGAGCTGTTGCACTGGTCTCGCTGTGCCTGTAATCAACTAAAAACAGGACAAGATAAACACAAGTTTTATTTCCAAATTTTTTAAATCATTTTAATTTTTTAAATTTATTTTTGAGAGACAGAGAGAGACAGAGCGAGCAAGGGAGGGTCAGAGAGAGAGGGAGACACAGAATTGGAAGCAGGCTCCAGGATCTGAGCTGGCTGTCAGCACAGAGCCGGACGCGGGGCTCAAACCCACAAACCGTGAGATCATGACCTGAGCCAAAGTCAGACGCTTAACCGACTGAGCCACCCTGACACCCCCATTTTAATTTTTTTTTAAGTTAAATGAAAGAAGTGAGTGTCAGGAGGATTTTCTTGAGATTTTGCTCCTTAACCCACTACATGATAACAGTATCACATAGCCCTTAACTCAGATCATCCAAGGAGATGTTACTGATATGCTTTTAATATAAACACGAGGGAGGAGGGGAGCCTGGGTGGCTCAGTTGTTGAGCATCCAACTCCTGACTTCAGCTCAGGTCATGATCCCAGGGTCATGGAATCAAGCCCCATGTCACGCTCCATGCTGAGTGCAGAGTCTGCTTGGGATTCTCTCTCTCTCACCCTCTGCCCCTCTTCCCCAGTCACGCTCTCTCTAAAATAATGAATGAATGAAAGGATGGATGGATAGATAGATAGACAGATAAAAGTGATGGAATAGGGACAATCATTTGGAAGGCAGGAGAAGGAAAGATTGCTGCTAAGCTGTCTTAAGCTCAAAATTATAATTAAAACAGAAGAGGAAAACTAGTAACTTGCAAAACCCTTAAATGATCTTTGTAAGCCTGGGTAGTATCTTAATCATCAAATGACAAGATATGAAGAATTAAAACGTTAATATTCATCAGCAACTGGTAACGAATGCTTAAAAGTGCAAATGCAAAGTCTGAGACCATTTTTTGTTGTTCTTTTGTTTTGTTTTCATTCCACCATTCCAGGCTATTACTTACTGACATGCTTAATGGAAATGACGTTGGCAGAAAGTGTACGTCCCATAAAATCCCTCCATGAGAAAAACAAAGTTCTGTAGAATTTAAGTTCTTTCCTAGAATACATGTCTCAAGAAATGCAATATAGTAAAATTGCTTAGCACCAGTTTGCCTTAATTACAAAACTGGTAATTTCAAAAAGAAATCACCACTGGGAAAAAAAAAACCTCTGCACTAAAATATAATTACAAATGGAAAACTTTAATTTTCCATAGATACCAAATTATCCGCGCTGTTTAATAATACTCTAAAACATGGTAACCATTAGTTAAATACAAGTCGATGATTCTTAAGGTAGGAAGGAAGACTTAGAAGAGGAGAGAATTACCTCAGGCTTCTTATTTCTAAAAGCAGATAGCCATGATTTACTCTAGATTCAAAGTCAGTAGGTCTGGGATGGCCAGGCTGATGCATTTTTTAAAAGGTCTGAAAAGATTATGACCTATACTCACTGTAAGAGAATTACTGATTCAACTAACACTCATTTGATAGCTTTGGAGAAGAGAACCAAAAATGTGCAGATTTTTGAGCAGCAGGGTACGAATTAAGTATCCAACAATTCTTTAGTACTCCTCTCTGTAAGAGATGGAGCCTAATTCCCTTCTCCTTGAGTAAGAGCTAGAATAACTCTAAAAAGGTATCGACAGCTTCCTGCTTGCTTTTTCTCCTTCTCTTTCGAATCACTCACTCTGGAAGAAGCCAGCTGCCACATCCTAGGAAGAATAAGACAGCCAGCCCTAAGAAGAGGTCCATGTGGCAAGGAACTGAAGCCTTCTGCCAAAAGCAGAGACGACTAGAGGGAGGAAAGCAAACCATGAGAGACTCTTGAATGTTGAGAACAAACTGAGGACTGATGGGTACAGGGGAGAGGGGAAGGGGGGTGATGGGGATGGAGGAGGGCACTTGTGGGGATGAGCACTGGGTGTTATATGGAAACCAACTTGACAATAAACTATTAAAAAAAAAAAAAAAAAAAGTAGAGACGACCAGAGGCCTCTTGCCAAGAGCCACGCCAGTAAGTCTTCTCAGAAGCAGACACTCCAGCTCCAGTTAAACCTTCAGATGACCAAAGCCCCTGACAACAGCTTCACTACTGCTTTATGAGCCACCACTAGGAGCCAGAACCACTCAGTTATGCCACTCTCAGATTTTTGGTTCTCAGAAGCAGTGTGAGATAATAAAGTTGCTAAGTCTGGGAATCATTTGTTATGCAGCAATAGATGACTAGAACAATAAGCAGGACAAAGAATGCTTGCATCTGACTAATTACCAGTTGCTTCTACAAGATCACGTGGAGAAACTGGCAACATTAAAAAGAAGAAATCTATGAAGCCCAAGGTCTCCTGGATTACACGAAGTATTTTCAACTCTGGTGCCAATTTTTAGAAGAGAAATAAAGAGATGGGAAGTCAATAACTGTTCAAAGAACTACCACAACATTTTAGTCTACTTCACAAAGCTTAAAATATTAGCATAGCGTACTCTAGAAAATGCCCAGTGATACTTTTATAAAGATGCAGGACCTGGATGCACAGGATGATGCTGTCCAAATAATAGTATCATATACACTACAGAAATATCTAAGAAGGTTAAGAAAAATACATTAATACTTCGTAAATCTTTTAAGGCAACATGCCTCAGAGTTCAAATTTTCCTAACTTTCAGGTAAGATGGCTTAGCCTTTTTCTTTTGGAGATAAAAAGACTGCTGGAAAACTGGGGGTGAACAAATGTTCACATTTCCAAATTAAAAAAATTACTTTTCAAAATACAGTTAAAAAAATAATTCAAAAAATCATTAAAAAAATAAATGACTAATAAACTGGAAAAAAAAAAAAGTAGATCAGTAGAAACCAAACTAAATTTACAAAGATCTTCATTTCCTTCTTAAGACGTTTGTTAGATTAGTAGCTCATAGAATTATAACCACTTGAACAACCACACCTAAATAAATACTGACCTAACGCCTCTCTAGCATATATAGTGCATGGCCATTGACTGGGACCGCTTGAGTTAATAAACTGAGAAAGTTTATTAGTACACTAGGTAACAATCAGAACGGGGGGGTGGGGCGGGGTGGAGGGCAAGAGGGAGGGAGTTGTTAAGCAAATGCAATGGGCCAAATCTAATTATGAGATTTAAAAGAAATAAACAGAAAAACTAAAAAAAAAAAGAAAATCAGAACAAAAGTAAATGATAGGAGACATTTACTTAATAAAATCTCATGTTAAAAAGCAAAAAAGAACTAGAAGTTTCAAAGGTGATATGAGTCAGTAAGACAACATGGTTGGCAAACAGCTATACTAACCATAGGCCGAATTAACGTAGGTAAAGAGTAGAGGTTTTTAGGTTGACTAACCTACTCTACCTGAAGCGAGTCACTAAGAAACAATAAATATTTAAAGCGATGACGAGGGGCGCCTGGGTGGCTTAGTCGGTTAAGTGTCCGACTTTCGCTTAGGTCATGATCTCGCGGTTCATGGGTTCGATCGAGCCCTGCGTCGGGCTCTGTGCTGACTGCCAGCTCAGAGCCTGGAGACTATTTCAGAGTCTGTATCTCCCTCTCTCTCTCTGACCCTCCCCTGCTCACGCTGTCTCTCTCTCTCCTAGAAATAAATAAAAAATATTTAAAAAAAATAAATAAATAAAGCTATGAGATGAGATCCACATAAGAAGTGTAAACTGAAGCAAGGCCTAAGGACTGAGGCATGGGCCATTCCATATTCAGAGGTCAGGAAAAGGGAAAATTCTGTGAAGGAAACCAAGAAGTTCTAGCTGCGGAAACGAGAGAAGAAAATAAGTCAAGCATGGAATAGGATAGGCTGATTGAAGGAAACATTCCAAGAAAGGAGTGATCGATAATAAATATAATAATAATAACACTGAGTTTAGTTGAGGGGCTAAACCACTTGACATCTAAACCCTCTCCAGAACTGACCTTCTCTGGCCTTTTATTCTGTCTTTTGCCTAGAAGGCTTCAGAGTTCTGAAACTCACCTCTAGTTATCAATATTCACTATAATCAACTAGTAAAATCAGGCTAGGTCATTCTGAAAACATATCACATGACATAGAGCATGTGCACGTGAGTGAGTACTTGAGCTAGTATAAAGAAAGGTATGCTAAAATTCTCCATTTATTAAATATAAAATCTAGTGCAAAGTTATCAATCTTTTTTTTTTCCTTCCTTTTTTGAAATCACAAATTTCTTCAAAAATCCAAGATATTCCCTTGGGAGGGAAGGGAAATGTATTTATCTGTACAGTATATATACAGAAAAAATACTTTTGCACATAACTATCATATATTCACAAACCCCACATAACTATTCTGAAGACAACTAGATTAAGAATCTCTGATTTAGGGGCACCTGGGTGCTCCATCAGTTAGGCATCCACCTTTGGCTCACGTCATGCTCTCACAATTTATGAGTTTGAGTCCCGTGTTGGGCCCTGCCCTGACCGCTCAGAGCCTGTAACCTGCTTCAGATTCTGTGTCTCCCTCTCTCTCTGTCACTCCCACCCCCCTCCCTGCTCACCTGTGTCTCTCTCTCTCTCAAAAATAAACATTAAAAAAAAGAAGGATCCCTGATTTAACACAATATTTATTCTACTATGCTAATAAGATCTTGATTCGTCCATCTGAAGTACTCCAAAAAACAAACTACTGGTTGTGAACAAAAAAATGTAGTAATACATTCTGAATTAAACTACACTTCCACCATAAACAACTGTAAGAGTCATAAAAATATTTTTCAAAGAATTACACATACCGCTAACATTTTCAGTTAAAATAAGGTGAAAGACCTGAGCGAAGGCATCGACGTCTTTATGTAGCCATATGTCAGAAAGACAAGCATCCATTTCCTTTATTAACCACGGTTCAAGGCAATTCACATCTTTTTCTGTCTTTAAAAAGAAAAAAAAACAAAACAAATGCAGAGGTTATAAATTACCTGACAGCCTAACCTTTGCTTACAAAGAATGTGAGATGACATAATGGCCCCAAGAACTACTAACCACACATTATAGCACAGGCCTTGACATAGTTTCTCATCTGAACACCAACACTCCACTTACAATATGGTGAATGAGTTTGTAAACAAAGGAGCATGAATTAGTCAAAATATTACCTAAGTGTGTTTCTAGCAGAATGTTGCTACCTCTCCCTGTACACCAGTGGTTCTCTCTCCCAGCTGCACATGAGAGGGGCCATGCCCAGTGTTCTTCAACAATGATGTCAAGTTCATTAGCACCTCTAGGTGGAGGCTGGATTCCACGGGGCTTTAAAATAAGTTCCTGAGGTGATGCTCACATGCAACCAGGCTTGAGAAACACTGATTTAATGGTAAAATGCTATTCCTGAACCAAATGGATGTTTTCTCTACTCTGTAACTTTTACACATCCTTCAAAAGCAATTTTTAAAATTATATCTATAGTTCGTTTGGATGCTTTAATAAACAGATCTGTTTATCACCTGCATATGTACCTTCTCATGCTCAAAACAGTTACATTCTTTTTGCAAAAAGTGCAGAGGCCCAACAGTATTTTACATCCCACTAATCACTGGTGCCTTTTAAAGAATTCTAAACCAGGATTAAAGACCAGAAGGAACCAGGGAAATCAGCTAGTTCCAGTTTTCAAATGGAATTCAAACAGATTCCATGGAAGCCAAGGTAGCAGAAGCCCCGTGTAGAGGGTGGACAGTAAGGATGGGCAGGCGGGGCTCCTACAAAATATTTCACTTGTAAAAGATTCTGTGGCAAAAGAGAAAAGAGAAAAGGAGAAGAAAAGAAGAAACTGAGGTCTACAGCGGGTCACTGATTTTATAAGGTCACATAGCTGGTCACTTGTAGAAACACCAGCAGTATTGTTTATGGGCTCTAATATCAAAGGTTTTTTTTTCTCAATTTTCTCCTAACTGAGCTTATCTTACATTGTTTAGCTCACAGGTTCTTAAACTTTTGAGATGATAAAATATCAGGCAATGATAATGTATATCCATAGTATCTTTATTTTCTTCAAAAAATTTAGAGAAAATATTGAAATAATTTAAACTCATATAAAAGATGCTGCATTATTTATCAAAAAAAAAAGTGTGCTAGAAAGTTGTTCTGAAAAATGTGTTGTATCCTAAGAATAACTAAGAGGATTACACTGTAATAATGCAGTAACATAATCTCATAAGATGTTCTTTAAACTACACAGTTTTCACTCAAAGTTATCAGTGTGAAACCAGCAAGGTCTTACCAACTGGCTGAAAACAGCATCGCCCCCGTCATCCAACAAATCATACTCTTCGGTCTCATTCGGAACTGTTCTCTGCCTCTGAGATTCAGGCTTGAAAGTATTCTCTTGAGCTGAATACCATTCTGTAAGAGTAGTTTGTTGCTTCTCTTCTAAGTTAGTAACAAAACAAAACCAAAAAAAGTAGATAAATGCTTCACTTTGGGGAATATATTGTGTTTTAAAAAATTAAGAGAATCTGGGGCGCCTGGGTGGCTTAGTCGGTTAAGCATCCGACTTTCGCTTAGGTCATGATCTCGCGGTTCATGGGTTCGAGCCCCGCGTCGGGCTCTGTGCTGACTGCCAGCTCAGAGCCTGGAGCCTGTTTCAGCCTGTGACTCCCTCTCTCTCTCTGACCCTCCCCTGCTCACGCTGTCTCTCTCTCTCTCTCCTAAAAATAAATAAAAAACATTAAAAAATTTAAAAAAAAAAAAAATTAAGAGAATCTGAAAATAATTCAACGTTGGCTTTAATTTTTTTTTTTGTGGTCTATTTATTTTTGAGAGAGGGAGACAGAGTATGGGAGGGCAGGGAGGCATGGAAAGGGAGACAGAGAATCCAAAGCAGGCTCCAGGCTCTAAGCTGTCAGCACACAGAGCCCGATGCAGGGCTTGAACCCACGGACTATGAGATCACGACCTGAACTAAAGTGGGATGCTCAACAAACTGAGCCACCCAGGTGCCCCAGAGTTGGCTTTATTTTTAAGTTATTTTTTCAGACTACATTAATGAGAAACATTTAATGTTTACGCTTAAACACATCTATTTATGCTTAAACGTCATCTATTCCATGTATTAGTGAAGTTTACTTCTAAGTAAGTCCAAATTTCAAGAAGGGTATTTTAACCATACTATAAATATTGCTTAAAGCAATGACTAATATTCACATAGCACTTTGTAGAAAACCATTTACTGAACGTCTACCACTATGCCAGTTGTGTTAGATACAAGTGATCTACAATTTTCACCTTCAAAAGCTCAGAGCTCTACTAGTTCTATGAGCTACATATGAAATAGGAATTGTTAGCTAATTGCTTTTCTTCAAGTGCAGAATCCAAAGAACGTAGGATATTTGTCCAAGGTCACACAGACTAAACAAAGGAATCAAAGCTTGAAGCCAAACCTTGCAGTTAAAAGTAAACAAGAAGAGGGGTGCCTCGGTGGCCTGATCAGTCAGTTAAGTGCCTGACTTCAGCTCAGGTCATGATGTCACGGTTTGCTGGTTCAAGCCCCAAATTGGGCTCTGTGCTGACAGCGTAGAGCCTTGAGCCTGCTTCTGATTCTGTGTCTACCTCTCTCTCTGCTCCTCCTCCACCTGTGCTCTGTCTCTCTCTCTCTCTTGCTCTCACTCAAAAATAAACGTAAAAAAAAAATTTTTTTTAAAGTAACCAAGAAGAATCTCACCCTAACTCAAAAGCTGAGATATGGCGTAAGTCATGATAAAGAGATGTATTAATGGGCAAATAATGCTAAATTCTAAGTACAGATGCAGTTCATAACATCAAGATTTGAAAACTTGGCATCTGTATCACAGATGAGCCTGTTACCATTCACATGCCACTTCTTCTCACTGCCTCCCGCCTACTCCCCGGTCAGGTCCTCTGAGATGTGCTGTGGCGGATCACGCTCGTATCGTATGTGGCATGTCGTATGTCATACATGCGGCAGCACATAGCTTTCAGCTTCCTTACAACAGTGGCTGCATCTCTGGATACATACACACTCAACCTCCTCCACCCCGGCATCCACTTTCAATTTGTCGTGTCATTTATGCACACAAACCACCACGTAGCAGGTATGCTTGGGACATAATTCTAATATAATATTACACAAGAATACGCAAGGAAAAAATACTTTCAAGTGTCCTTGTAGTGCCACAGGATAAGACTCCAAAAACTCAATATTAATAGTACTTTTCTATTTGTTTGATAAGAGGCTTACCTCGCTGTTTTTCCTTTTTGTATTTTAACATTTCTTTGTTTGTGTATCCAGTAGTTCTCAAGATGTCTTCCAGAAACATTTCTTTTACTTCAAAAGGCCTTCCCTGTACTGAATAATAGGAATATTTTAAAGACTCGATTTGCAACACAGAGACAATGCACATAAAAACATGAGAATCCTGAGTTCATGAACTGAAGTATAAAAATCCAAAAGCAATTCCATAGGTCAAGTGATCCCCATAATATTGTCCTTTAAATCTAATTCTGATTTTCATTTTACACAATTGCTCAGTTGCTTGCCTTTCCAGGGTTTGCTATCTACTTCTCCTGTGTCTGTCATCACAGTAGGCACCACGGACACAAATCATAAGCAGAAACACAGCTGCCGCCTACTCTCCTGAAGCTTATATGCTAGCAAGGAAGACAGATATGAATCCAGTAATACAGAATATAAATGTAAAAACAGAGTTGTAATAAGTCCTCTCGGAGAAAAGGACAAGATACCATCACATAATGGGGGTCTGAAGAGGTCATGAAAATCATCCTCTTAGAGAAGATGAGGACCAAAAGAAGAGGTAAACGAAATACTAACCTATATGCAGAAGAAAGCGTACAATGAAGAAAACAAAAGCACATGCAAAGATCCTACGAAGGGAAAGAGTATGATGTCTTCAAGAAACTACTTGGCCAAGCTAACTGGAACATGGTGGGAGACAGGGAATAAAGAGGGGCTGTAGTTTGAGATGCGGCAAGAGAAACAGGTGAGCCTTATTAAGGATTTAGGTCTTCATCCTGAGGTAATGGTTATCCAAAGCTTTAAGCTCAACAGAGTGCTCAACATCCTCGGAATTCTAGGTCAGAAAAGACCACTCTGGCTGCGGTAGTAGAGAACACGGACTTAAATGAAACCAGAAGAATGGGGGCGCCTGGGAGGCTCAGTTGGTTAGGCATCCAACTCTTGATTTCAGCTCAGGTCACGGTTACAAGACCAAGTCCCACATCTGTGCTGACAGTATGAAGCGTGCTTGCTATTCTCTCTCTTTCTCTGTCCCTCCCCCACTCTCTTGTGTGCTTGCGTGTGCTCGATAGATAGATAGATAGACAGACAGACAGACAGACAGATAGATAGATAAAAGAGAGCAGAGGGAATGGAAGAGATCAAGAAAAGAGAACAATATTTGAATGAAACTGGTGATGATAAAAATGGACAAGAGACAGGCTCAAGAGATAGTCAGGAAGTAAAATCCAGAAAACTCAGAACTAAACTGGATATGAAAGAATGGGTCAACCATGTTTCTTGATGTCTGGCAGACAAAATGGATACATAATGTGGTTCATCTCAGAGGTAATAAGGAAAGCTAAAAGCCAACAGGCTGGTTGGTGGGAGCTGGGGTTTGGTTTTAGACATGTCAAATGTGAGGTGCCAAAATGAGCTTTCAATGAGCAGATATGTAAAGTTTTATAAGACTGGCTTGTGACGTAGGTGATTAGGTTGACAACACACAAGATTTTGTAGAAGAGATTAAATATTTAGCTTGGGACATATTAGAAATGAGCTGCTTATAAGACATCAAAGTCCCAAAGCTCTGAAGGACAGTATGAATTAGAAACAAAGATTCAGGGGGTCCCCAGCTGGCTCAGCTGATGGAGCATAGGACTCTTGATCTCAGGGGTGATGGGTTCAAGTCCCACTCCAGGCATAAAGCTTACTTAATTAAAGAAAAATGTTCAAAATAAACAAAAAATAAATAGATACAAAGGTTCAGGAGTCATGAGTATAAAAAAGAAAGCAGAAGCCAAGGGCATGAATGAGAGCTTCGAATTACCTGTCCATTTCCAGTACCTAGCAGGGTATAGCACAGATCAGGAAAGAAAAGGAAAAATAAAGGAAAGAAGGAAGGGAAGATAAATGAGAAGGGGGGGGGGGGAGGATCAAGGGAATAATTCCATTAAATTCCAATATATAAGCACCAGGCAAAAGAGAAGCTCACCAAGGAGAGCATGAGGGTACAGGTGCTACTGCAGAATTAGGAGATAGTGCTGTCAAATACATTCTAGGATGTGAGTATTTCACACACAAAAAAGAGGGGCCAACCATGAGAAATACGGAAAATTTAAGTGAGATTTTTGTGTAAAATTTAAATAGTAGGCTGGGCAATTATATCAATATCAAAACAATACTAATAAGAATACATGAATGAACAGACTCATACACTACAGAAATATAAATCACTTCAGCTCCTTGAAAAAGGAAAATGGCAAAACCTGTCAAAATTAAAAAAAAAAAAAGTGAAATTCTTTCACTCAACAATTATACTTTCAGCAACCTATCCCTACAAATAAGAGCCCCAGTATATAAGGATATACACACAGCATGTTTACTACAACACTGTTTATGGAAGGGAGAGAGGAGGAGAGTCTAGGACCAATCTGAGTGCCCCAATAAATGGTTAAATAAATCATGGTATGTTTGTATTGTGATATATTAAAATAGCTGCTTAGGGGAGCTTGGGTGGCTCTGTCAGCTAAGCATCTGACTCTTGGTTTCAGCTCAGGTCATGATTTCATGGTTCAGAAGGCGGAGCCCCACATCAGGCTCTACGCTGACAGTGTGGAGCCTGCTTGGGATCCTCCATCTCCCTTTCTCTCTCCACTTCCCCCACTCATTCTCTTTCAAAATAAATATGTATTTTTTTAAATTAAAAAAAATTTTAAGTACACAGGAAGTAAACACGGGAGTGTAGACCACTCTTTTCAAAGAGCCTAGCAATAAAGGGAAGCTGGAGGACAGAAATTAAGGAGGATACAGGACCACAATAAAATACGTTTCCCTTTAAGAATGAAAACTGCCCTCACAACACAGTATCAACAAGAGTGGGTGGACAAGGAGAGGATGGAAATATAGACAGATGAATGAGCAGGCAGGTCTCAGACAACACAGAAATGGATGCTCTCTGCTTCAGAAAATTCCCCAACTCCTATTAGAATAAATATAATCATGCCAAAAAGTATACTTTCACGAAAATCCTAGAAGAAATCTGACAATTTAACTTACTATAGATCACTGGACAACTTCCAAAGTATCTTATAAAAAGATTTACATCCAAGGCGGCACTAGAAAGAATAAGTTTCAAAGTTGGGTGCTTTTGCAACAGATCTCTTAACTTTGTAAGTAAAAAATCACTAAATCGATCCCTTTCATGTACTTCGTCCTGCGGTAAACAAAAAATAAAACCATGGAATAGTTAAAACATATGGATGACTAAGTCTTTAAAATTATGGGGCTGCTGGGTTTTATAGCAATTCAAATTAAACGTGAACAAGGCCGATCAGTACTGTGAAAGTGTTGTATTGGACAATTCAGAAATAGTCAGACATTAACAACCGACTGTGCATAACAAAGCACTGCTGCTTAACAGAGTATAAAAGACACACAAACTACAACAAATTCTGAATGAGTGGAGTCTAATTTAATGTATTTTTAATAAATACAGAATTTATTTTAAAATTCAATTAGCATCAGGGTACAGGTGCACCGCCCTTTGGTCTGAATGCGCAAAACAAATAAGTTTCCTAAAGCTGCTTATTCAAGCTTCTGAAACTTAATCTAATCCAATTGTTTTCTGACACAAACTGGATAAAAGCTTACAATTTTTTAATAAGGTGGTAATTCACCTACTTCATCAGCAGCTACTTAATTTAACAGTTTAACTATGAAGTTAAATGACTAAACAGTGAAGACTGGGAAATACGTATTAGCTAGAGGCGGAATCAGATGACTCAACAGAGGAAAAAAAAGAAAATTTTCACCATTCTGGGGAACGCTAAGGAGCTGTATCATTTTCACATATAAAAAGCACTTTTTAAAAATCTACCTACTTATTGAATTTGCCCTCGTAAAACCTAATGGTAAGAATTATCTTTACTTAATACAAGTAAATTTTATTTCTAATAATTATAAGCAATAAAAAGTAACTTCATTATAATACCTGTTCAAAAAAGATTGGCTCTCCCCCATCCTATTCTAAAAATATAATTAATGACATAGTCAGATTGTAAAGTGCTTTGAGTTGTAGAGGGCAAACTCAGCAGTATTCTTACCACAATGACATGTGTTACAGTTGACAGTGTACTATCTCCTGCCATCAATGTACGAAGCAACACCCCATTAGTGCAAAATGTCAAAAGTGTCTTTGGAGAAACCCTTTAAAAAAAAAGAAAAGAAAGCACACAATTACAACTCTTACACATAAAACACGATCATATTACATGTTAATCTCATGTATACTTTAATAAATGTTAAAGTCACTAACAATAGTGTAGTGGTTTGAATGCTTTATTAGCCAAGTTATGTGAAATATGTGTTTTATATCTGACAAACTCGCAAAATTTTTATTACTAACAGCCTTTTATTAATTGATTATTTTAAGAAACCATTAAATAGATTTTTTTTAAAAATGAACCCTAAAGAGGAAAAATAATTTGTGTTTAATCATAAATCCCTCTATGAAATGGGATTTGTACCTATGGCCCAAACTCTTTCTCCAACTACGTATTCACAACCTTGTTAAGTTCAGACATGACCTCAATGTCCTATCAAAGACTTACTTGGAGCAAAATGACCATCTAACTTTTCAACTAACATAGTCTCTATATTTAATGAAATATAAACATTAATCTTTTCTAAGAATGCTAGGCTACAGGAGAACCATTGTTACCTGCTTTCTAATCGGATCTGATATCCAATTGTTTGACCAATCCTTTCTCTTCTCTCTGCAGCAACTCTTTCGGCCACAGCAATAGCCGCTAACCTTCTTGGCTGGGTACAAAATATACGGCAGGGGATACCATTTTTAAAGCAATCATCTAAAAGGAACTGAGGAATCTGAAATGAAAGTTTTAAAGTGCTGTAAAATGACATGACTATACAGGCAGAAAATCCAAGTCAATCACAACTGAAAAACTATTGGAATTAGGAAAGTTCTGTAACATGTCCAAATATAATCATAAAACCAACAACTTTCATGTAACTTCCAATGATCAGCTAGAAAATGTTGTTTTCAAAGAACTGATTCACAAGAGAAACTAAAACTTAAATATTAAAAACGAATTCATACAGGGGCGCCTAGGTGGCTCAGTTGGTTAAGCCTCCGACTCTTGGTTTCAGCTCAGGTCATGATCTCATGGTACGTAGTTCAAGACCCCATAGGGCTCTGCGCTGACAACAGGGACCCTGCTTGGGATTTTGTCTCTCTCTCTACCCCTCCCCTGCTCACTCCTTCTCTCTCTCAAAATAAATAAACTTTAAAAAAGCATTTGTGAAAAACTAAATTCACAAAGAAATCATTAAGGCTTGCACAAAGATGACTATAAAATACAACTAAAACACACAAACTGAATAAAGAAATAGGACACAGACTTGAGTGGAAATAATCAATACTTCAAAAACGTGAATTTTGGGGCACCTCGGTAGCTCAGTTGGTTGAGCGTCCAACTTTGGCTCAGGTCATGATCTCAAGGCTCATGAGTCTGAACCCCATGTCAGGATGTATGCTGACAGCTCGGACCTTGGAGCCTGCTTTGGATTCTATGTCTCCCTCTCTCTCTGCCCCATGCCTGCTCTGCTCTGCCTCTCTCTCACTCTCTATCACAAATGAATAAACATTAAAAAAAAAAGATATATGTATGTGTCTATATATGCATGTGTATATACACATACACCTCAAATGAAAGAATATGTAAATGTTTTAAGTTTTTTTTTTTCTTTTTTGGGTGTTTTTGGGGGAAGAGCTGGGGAGAGGGGCAGGGGAGAGTGAGAGAGAATCCCAAGCAGACTCCATACTCAGCACAGAGCCCAATGCAGGGCTAGATCTCACAACCTTGGGATTATGACCTGAGCTGAAATCAAGAGTCAGATACTCAACCAACTGAGACACCCAGGCGCCCCAACAGTATGTAAATTTAAATTGGAGAGAAGCTATTATCAAATTGCCCTCCAAAACAATTTATACTCGTATTAGTAAAGCAGAGGATGCTGTTTTCCCAATACCTATACAAATACTGGATATCATCAATGTTTTAATTTCTGGCCATCTGATAGCTGAAAAATATAATCATTGTTTTGATTTCATTTCTTTAACTGTAAGTGAGACAGAGCAACATTTCATACATGTTTTAGCCTCTAGGATTTTTTAAAACTTGACTAGTTTATCCAGAAGCATAAATGAATACAAATCAGGAAACATTTAAGAGAATAAACCAGAATATTATGCTACATACTGCAAAATGACAAAAAGCAAAAAGAGGGATCCTGGTGCAGAAATAATTAAAGATACGTAACAAAAATTCCAGAAATGATCCAAGTACTATAGAAACTTCGTATTTGATCAAAAGTGGTACCTTAAGCGACGGGGGAAAGAATAAGTAAATAAAAACTATTATATTAGAACTAGATATTAACATGAAGAAAGTAGTAAGATAGATTCCTACCTGACATGATATTATAAATTCCAGATGGATTTTTAAAACATAAATACAAAAATACTAGAATAAAATACTTATAGGAAAATGTTTTTTAATCTTGAGGTAGGAAATACCTTTCTTAGCATGACTCAAAGCCCTAAAAATAAGACTGACAGATATGACTAAATAAAAATGTAAAACTAGGGGCGCCTGGTGGCTCAGTAGGTTAAGATCCGACTTCGGCTCAGGTCATGATCTCACCGTTCGTGGGTTCGAGCCCCACGTCAGGCTGTGCTGACAGCTCAGAGCCTGGAGCCTGTTTCAGATTCTGTGTCTCCCTCTCTCTCTGACCCTCCCCTGCTCGCTCACTCTCTCTCTCCCAGAAATAAATATTTTTTAAAAATAAATAAATAAAAATGTAAAACTAATACACAAGATAGCATAAAGCAAAGCTAAAGAGCAAACAAAAAAACTGAGAGAAATCATTTTTAGGGTATCTAACAGATAACAGGCATGCAGGCATAATATTTCAAGCACCACTAAATACCCTGCTGGTTATAACAACAGTCTTCTCTACCTTAGCTTGAAAACCCAGACTCAGGAGGCCTCAACCCCTGCCTCCCTATTCCCAGAAGAGGCAAAGCTAACTATGTAGGAGGCTGTTTCAGAGGAGAAGACGACTTTGTCTTCCCAGAAGATAAACCCTCTACTCTGCTTTATGAGGCAGATAGCAACCCCAAACCACAGACAGGTTGGGACCTGCGCAGGCCTCAATGCCAACAGTCAACACTATATTAACATTTGTTATTATTAGTATTGCTGTTAATTTAGCTCCTATGTACAAAACACTGACAGGCGCTTTACAGACCTCTCTAAACTTCACGGTGAATGGGAGCAAGTATTAGCTCCATTTTACAAGTGAGGGCTCTGGCTCACAGAGGTTAACAAGACTCGTCTGGTCCATATTCCGTTCGTGATACAAACCACATCATGGCTTCTATTTAAATGGAGGCCTAAGGTGCTAGTTTAAAAATATTTTTTTTTTTTTTATTTCTGAGAGAGAGATAGAGAGAGAGACAGTGTGAGCAGGGGAGGGTCAGAGAGAGAGGGAGTCATAGACTGAAACAGGCTCCAGGCTCTGAGCTGGCAGTCAGCACAGAGCCCGACGCGGGGCTCGAACCCACGAACCGCGAGATCATGACCCAAGCGAAAGTCGGATGCTTAACCGACTAAGCCACCCAGGTGCCCCTAAAAATATTTTAAAACATTTCCTTTCTACCAATTCTCAAAATGTACTCCCAGTAGAAATTTATTTCTGAAATACCCATTAAAGTATCCAAAGGGGTTGTTTTTGTTAAAATACATGTTGTTTAAATCTGATATAAAACTACCATGCAGAGGGGTGCCTGGGGTGGCTCTGTTGGTTAAATGTCCGACTTTGGCTCAAGTCATGATCTCACAGTTTGTGAGTTCGAGCCCCATGTCCAGCTCTGTGCTGACAGCTCAGGGCCTAGAGCCTGCTTCGGATTCTGTGTCTCCCTCTCTCTCTGTCCCTCCCCCACTCACATTCTGTCTCTCTCTCTCTTAAAAATAAATAAACATTAAAAAACAACAACTACCATGTGGGAAAAAAAAATTTTTTCTTCCATAAACAACAAAAAAGAAACCAACCTGTGTAGTCTTTCCAGACCCAGTTTCTCCTACGATCAAAACTACTTTATTTTCTTTAATTATTTTAACAATTTCTTCTTGTTTCTCAAACACTGGCAGAGACTGCCTGAAAGAATCAAATTCAGATTCTCCTCTTTTCACTGGAATCTGAGGTATGCCATTGTTGAGTCGCCCACTCGTTTTGCTCATTTCCCGGTTTTCTTTGAAAATGAATAAAAGAACAAAAAGACTTATGATCAACATTTTTTAAAGAGTGGTAAACACAAAGATAAGTAATTTCTGTATTCAGTCTATGTAAAGTTAGCAAGCAGTAGCTGTGTGTTGTACTCTATGCTCATTATTCTTTAAAAAATAAGTTACAAAGTTCAGTAGTAATTAGAAAGCAAATTTCTAAAAGGACTTCTGGTGCATAATATTTACAAATAAACAAAAACCAATCACTCCATAACCATTAAAAAGAAAACGTGATTCTGATATCCTAAAAACAGTTTTGAGGCTTGCTTCTGTCAATAATGACACAAGAAATTAAAATTGCCTAAGTAACAGTGTGCATTATTTATAAAGTCTGTTATGTACAATATGAAAACACATTGTGAAAAGAAAAATATTGTGTGTTTAAAGCTAAATATGTAAGATTATATAAATAGAATATGTGTAAATATAAAGTCTTCATGCTTAACAAATTTCCTAATTGAGAATTTTCACCAACAGCTACATTTAATTAACAAGACAAGAAAAAAAGAGCATCACGTGTTTTTTATTTCTCACATAACTCAAAACATTTTTGTGTGCATGGATTTAAAACTTAAATCCCTCGCTATCTAGAACCGTCTATTTTCTACACTCTGCAAACCTATTCCAACAGACAATGGAAATTATGAAATCTGTTGCTTTAGGTCTTTAGGGATCTTCTCACTAGGAAGTTATTTCTCCAAATGATAAAATCACAACTTCATTCTATAACCTAAATATATCAATTATCTAGCCTTCAGCAAGTTAGGGTACTGAAGACTCTGTCCTCTTACCTGAAGCTAAAGGCCCAGTTCAAACCCACACTCATAAGCGGGCCTTGCCAGCATTAATACAGGAAAGTCCAGACCTTGGAGCCAAATCCCAGCTCTGCAGTTTACAGGCTGGTTGAGTAGCCTTGAACAAATTATTTAACTGCTCTGCACCTCAGTTTATTCACTCCTGAAACAGGAAATTCTTACCTTGGGAGGGTTGCTGTGAGGTCCTCTATAAAGAGTTTAGTATACTGCCTAGCACACAGGAAGTGCTCAATAAATGACAGCTGTTACCGTGACACTTAAAAGACTTGTCTAACTGAATGACATGCCTTAACACTGCATTTCATTCCCAAATTTTCACAGTTCTTTATCATTTCTAACAGACCATTCAAACTGAGAAATCTCATTGCATCTTTGTTGTTGTTTTTTTAATTTATTTAAAACGGAAAAAGAACAGTCATCAATTAATAGGATAAACAAGGAAGCTCCCCAGAAAATACATACCAGCTTCAACTGCAAACACATTTCCTCTTTCTGTTTTAGGCAGAAGTTCAGTACGCTCTTTATTGGTGACAGGAAATCTCTGAATTAGGCTCCTAACAGCATGTTTTGTATTATGAGTCAAATTACAGGTCATCATTGCATGAGCTGTTTCTGATCCATCTTTCTTCTTCACAGTTAGGTATCTATTTGCTCCCTTTCTGAATATTAATAAAAATCATTTATTTACTATATATAGTCAATTGGTTCACATATGATGTACGCCTACTTCGACAACACGCCTTAAGAAAACATTGAAAAAAATCTAAATGCTTTGGGAGAAGATGCTAAAAATCCCCAAAAATTCAATAAGGAGGGAGTTTGGTGCTGAAGTGGCCAAAAGACCATTTTCCATTAAAATTTCAAAATGCTACCAATCCAGTTTTTAAACCACAAAAATGGCTTACTTACCCACAAATGTTACAGTCTTGTCTTAGCAGACTTCATGGTGGATGAAACATCACCAGTTAATATATGCTGGAAGCATACAGAGGGAAAAAAACAATCTGAACAGAATCTAAAAATGATAATTAAAAAGTTATGATTCACTGTCCAGACTACTATTTCCCACTGAACGCTTCCATGGGATACTGGTAACGTCACATCCCATGAAAACCTGTTAAGAGAACCAAGCTTAGTGGTTGGAGCAAAAAAGCATAAATCGACATTACTGATAAGTATTTTCATATGCATATGGGGGGGAAGAAATTTTTCACAGCTTCTGGCTCTAGCTTTCAGTTATAAGATAATAATGATTTATAACTCTTCTCAAATTATTTGATGTAGGTATATTGATTTCTTCAACTGGTCCACACTGACAATGTCTTTTATGACTTTTGTAGCTTCAAGGGTACGAGGTATAATGTTATACAAACAGAAAGTCCTCAAATGTGTTTTGAATGATTTAATAATATATGTCTACAATCTCGGACAATATAGTACTAGTAAAGAGCGTAGGCTCTAAAAGCATACCAATCTGGGTTTGAATCCTAGCTCTACCACTTAGTAGCTGTTGGGACCATAAGCAAATTATTTAACACCTCTGAGCCTAAGATAATAATAATACCTGACTCAAAGGATTATTCATATCATTAAATAAGATAATACATGTAAAGGGCAAACATCTGTTACAGAGTAAGCACTAAATGAATGAAAGCTGTTACTATAATTATAGTCTGGGGAAAAAAAATCACTTTTTATTTTTAAAAAGTTACCCAAAATATTTCATAAAATGTTCTATCATTTGTTAATGTCACTATATTACAGAAATAAGCAATAAAGCCACAAATATAATGAAAAGTGTATGTATAATTTTCCTAATTTTCATTAGTCTTAGAATTTTGAACAAAATCTTCACTGTAAAAATAATATAAAACTGGAAATTAACCTATTCAGTTTTAGCTTTCTTAAGTGACGATTTTGATTTACCAAGGTTTTTAATTTCTGGAAACGTTTTATGGAATGCTTTAATGAATTTTATGCTTTCCGTGCTATCATCTACTCTCTAACAATTATGGAATCAAGATGAAATAACTAAATTTAACCTGATTAGGAATTTCCGTTATTTCCACAGTAAATCAGAATTACTGGATTCTAAAGATGATCTCTGTAGTAGGTTCTTTTCCATGGACCTTTCTGAAAATTCAGCACAGTCATTATAGACTTAATCATTCATTCCCCACTTACTTCATAAAGATTTTAAGTGCAGAGGGCAGGAAGTGTGCTGGAATGGTCACTAGAGCAAGACTCAGTAGGCTTGTGTTCAGAGCTAGTAAAAATCTTTCAACTAACTAGCAATGTAATCAAAAATCGGTTTCTCTCTCTGACACTGCATACAAGTTAGTTCAAAAATCTCTACTATTTCTGTCAGTTCCAAGATGCTTTAATTTTCTTGAAAGCCGTCTTAGGAAAGTGATGCCGTACTTCACCTGTAACTAATTTTATTTCATTCATTCATCCGATCACTAATCATATATTAAGCAACTATTCTACGTCAGGCACTATGCTGGAAGCCGGGGTTACAAAGTTAAGTAAAATATACTCTCCTCAATAAGCTCACAACTAAAATCGGTCAGATTCAAACTTTCCTAACATAGGCTGCCTACTAAGAATATAACATTTATGTATAAAAGGAACCCATACTGAGCATGTGTGAGGACTCACCCATTACCATTTAAAATTTACCGAATTCATTTTGAACATGGATGAGGGGGCAGAAAGATATTATCAACTTGGTAGTTTTTATGTTTTAGTACAGGATTCTACTTGTGGCTCTCAACGCTCATTCCTCCCATATTTAGCAACACAGTGACACTGATAAATGATAAAAAGATAAGTGAAATGTTTGGTCAAATATGTGCCTCATTGTTTTGAGGATGAAAACATTCAATCCAACAGACATCTGTCCTAATACACCCTGAGGTTTCACTTTGTTTTCATCCCAAAGTGGCACTACTCTGAACAAAACCATTATAAGACTCCTTTTCAAAGCAAAGTTAACTACAAACTAGCTGCAAAACGTGGAAGAGATGCTAAATAAATTAATATCACAATAATTTTTTCAAATAATGAAATGCAAGCTCCATATGCACTTTTTAAATATAAAGGTAAATATGCTAAAATTATAGGTGTGAACACCATAATATCTAATTTCCAAAGTGTGAAAGTAGTCAATATGTGCTATAATGAAGTTCTGGCATTTCAATGGCTTCTCCCTTTTAAAGAAAAATAACTCATCAAATTTGATGCAATTTTAATGTTAATCAATTTATCAATTTATACAGCATGTTACTCAATATTTAACTCAAATACTGCCCTATGCCTTACTATTCTCCACTCTCCAAATCTGTAAACAGTTTAAAAACTCAGCTAAGGAGCCAAAATCTGAAATGACTTAAAAAGCTCACAACCACCCAGGCCTTAATATCTCAAAAAATAATACATATTCATATGATGCTTTGCCAATGCACAATTTCCTATTTCCTTAATTTATACTTCCATTATGCAGAAAGATGCAAAGACCTAACTCGAAACCATTTTCTTCCCAATACTGTAATACAGAACTGCAAATGTATTAAAGTCTGTATCATACTAATTTATACTTTCTTTTATGACTACATGGAAATTAATAAACCAAGCAGTTAGCTCTGACACTAAAAAAAGTTGCTCTCATATCATGGACACTATAATTGTGGTATATTGTTCATCCTGTGACTTTGCACTATAAGCAACTTAAAGATGAGACCTATCTAATAATTCCGTTTTAACTGCTCTCTGCTCCTAGGACATTACCATGAACTCACTGTGAACATCAAAAACTTGAGGCACCTGAGTGACTCAGTTAGTTGAGTATGTGACTTCAGCTCAGGTCATGATGTCACAGTCCATGGGTTCGAGCCCCACATAGGGCTCTGTGCTGATGGCTCGGAGCCTGGAGCTGCTTCAGATTCTGTGTCTCCCTCTCTCTTTGCCCTTCCTCCCCTCTCTCTCTCAAAAACAAACACTTTTTTAAAATGTTTAAAAAAAACTAATTAAAATTTAACTATGTTCAAATCCTGGCTCTGCCACTCACTAGCTGTGTGGCTTTGGGGAAAAAAATTTAATGTCTCCAACCCTGAACTGCATCATCTGTTATACAGGTACTAGGAATTATTACTAGAACATACTGATTAAGACTATTGTGAGGATTAAAGAACTTACTTAGGGCCACCTGACTGGCTCAGTCGGTTAAGTGTCCAACTTCAGCTCAGGTCATGACCTCACAGTTCATGAGTTTGAGCCCCGTGTCGGTCTCTATGCTGCTAGCTCAAAGCCTGGAGACTCTATGGACTCTGTGTCTCCCTCTTTCTCTCAACCCCTCCCCTGCTCACACTCATGTCTCGTTCTCTCAAAAATAAACATTAAAAAAAATTTTAAGTAACCTACTTAAAGCACCTAGATTAATGCCTTTTGGACAAAAAATACTTAATAAATGTTGTCATCATTACTCTTGGGCACCACAGGTGATTTCTTTTCAATGGATGGCCCAAAATTCACTTTTAACCAATTTCTCCTATTTAAAATAGAAGCAGAAAAGGAGAGTGCAGCACACATCTTTCCCAGGGAAGAGGCAAGGGAGGCAATAACCCGAATCTGAAAAGGGGGCTTTCGTGCAGAGCCTTCTGGTCAGGGTGGCTACAGCACGGGGGTACCTATGCAGTACGGACTTCAAGAAGAAACTCGTACTTGGAAAACCTATTTTCATGTAATTTATAGCTTCTCTTTCCATAAGTCTTTAACAAAGTCCATTTTGTAAATTTCATTTCGCATAACTTGGACTAACAAGAACTGGAAAGAAGTTCTGTTTTGTTCGTGAACAAGTCAAAGAAAGTGTGCTCTTAAAACCAAAACACAGAGACCTCAGTTGAAGAAAAAATTTTAAGGAGGTGAAATTTTGGTATTGGAAAATTTGACTAAAATTTCAAAGAAAACCTAAGGCTACACTAACAGTAACATAAGTTTACTCCAACAAGAATATTTTCACCAAAAGATGAGCAATTATAGAAAGGAATCTGGAAAGTAGTCATCAGTTGCAAAATAAATTCAACTCTTCAGGAGGGAATGAAAAACAAAATCCAACACGCATGGCTGCATTTTGAAAGAAAGGAGAGCAAAAAGGAGAAAGCGATGAGGAAAAAAATGTCAACTATCACTCAGTAAACTTAAAATCTATTTTTTTTTAATTTTTTAAATGTTTTTATTTATTTCAGCGTGAGCAGGGGAGGGTCAGAGAGAGAGGGAGATATAGAATCCGAAGCAGGCTCCACGCTCTGAGCTGTCAGCACAGAGCCCGACATGGGGCTCGAACCCACAAACCATGAGATCATGACCTAAGCCAAAGTTGGATGCTTAACCGACTGAGCCACCCAGCCTCCCCTTAAAATCTAATTTTTTAATGTTTCTTTATTTTGAAAGAGTGAGAGAGTGCACAGAGGGTGAGGGGCAGAGAGAGAGAAGCACAAGCAGGCTCCCCACTGTCAATGCAGAGCCAGACACAGGGCTCAATCTCACAACCATGAGATCACAACCTGAGCTGAAATCAAGAGCCGGAGGGTGCTCAACCAACTGAGCCACCCAGGTGCCCCAGAATCTATTTTTTTTAAACCTTGTAAAATGCTGAAAATAAACTACAGAATCCAAACTAAAACAAAGAGACATTCTTCACATCCTACATTTAAGAAAACTGGTCTTGGGGCGCCTGGGTGGCTTAGTCGGTTAAGCATCCGACTTTCGCTTAGGTCATGATCTCGCAGTTCGTGGGTTCGAGCCCCGCGTTGGGCTCTGTGCTGACTGCCAGCTCGGAGCCTGGAGCCTGTTTCAGTCTGTGACTCCCTCTCTCTCTGACCCTCCCCTGCTCACGCTGTCTCTCTCTCTCTCCTACAAATAAATAAAACATTAAAAAAAAAAAAAAGAAAAAGAAAACTGGTCTTTAAAGTTAAGGGCCGTGACCAAAGCTAGAGAACCGCGAAGTGAGAGACTGGGAGTTGAATCCAGGATTCCTGACTTTTCCTCCACACCTGGCTCTCTCTCAAATACCTATTAAGGAACCATGATGCTAGGTACCAAAAAAAAAAAAAAAAAAGGGGGAGGGGGAGCAGAAAAACTAACTTACTAAGTTAATGAAGTTATGCTAGGAACTAAGGGGGAAAAAACCTCTTACTCAAAGGTGAACAGAAAAACCCATGAAAATATAAGTCAGGTACAAATTCTCATACAAATAAAAAGAAAGAAAGAAGTTCTTCATACATACGAAAACAAGGAAAGGCATTTGAAAATCACAAGGACCATGAGATAAACACTGTATTGCCTTTAATCAAAGATAAAAAGGGGAGGGAGAGCAGTAAGAAATTTCCTAAGAGGGTCTGTCGAGCACTAGGAATAGCAACTAGGGACTAGATAAGAAAGCAGGGTTGGCTTGCCTCTCTTAGCATCTTTTTCCTCTCTTCAGTGTCTTCTCACCCACCTTTTTTTGTCCTGATAACTTCTACCCTGCTCTCTACCTTTCCCCAGGTTTCTCCATTCTGGATTATCCCTTAAACAACTGGGCTACTGAAGAGAAATAGAGGGAGTCTACTCCAATGGACTTCTTTCCTAGAAGTAATTTCTTTTTCTTTTCTTTTTTTTTAAGTAGGCTCCACACCCAGTGCAGAGCCCCCACCCCCCCACAGGGCTTGAACTCACCACCCTGAGATCAAGACCTGAGCTGAGATCAAGAGTCAGACACTTAACTGACTGAGCTACCCAGACATCCTTCTAAGAGTAATTTCTAACGGTCATTTCTAAGTTAACTACTTAGAATTCAAAACCAGTTTAACCACAGAAATGATGTAGCTGCAGAACCATGTCTTTACAACAGATATTTCTAGGACAGACCTGCAACCTCTTATCTAGAACCTTTTTTTTTTTTTTGAATGTTTACTTATTTTTTGAGAGAGAGAGAGACAGAGAATGAGCAGGGGAGGGAAAGAGAGAACAGGAGACACAGAACTGGAAGCAGGCTCCAGGCTCCATGCTGTCAGCACAGAGCCTGACATGGAGCCTGAATCCCCAAACTGCAAGATCATGACCTGAGTGGAAGTCAGAAGCTCAACCAAATGACTGAGTCACACAGGCACCCCTACACCTCTTAAACCCAAGCAACAATGAAAACTCGAAGATCTCGGTTTGCAAGGTGAAAATTAATAAACAGAAACCTCATTAAAGTGTACTGGGAATGCTAGAAGGGGAGGTGGTAGGGAAGCCAAAACCACTCATGTCAATTACAGGAAAAATTGTCAAAGAAGGAAAGAAGATTCAATTACAGGCCCCAACAGAAAAAGGTGTACATTGCATCCTCTGTAAGAAGTCAACCACCCCAGCAACCCAGCCAATTGAGAAACCAACATCACCCTGAATTTCTTGCTTCTCTCCAATGGACTTTTGTTCAAAACAACCCCTCCCAACTTCCTCCTTCCTCTCCATAAAATAATGTTCCTCTCCTCTGTTTGTTGGACTTTCGGATGGTTTTGTAGTAGTGTGCTTGTCCTAGATCGCAACTCTCTATTTCCTTAGAAACCCACCTTTTGCTGGTAAAATAATTTTTTTTTAATTTTCAATGTTTATTTTTGAGAGACAGAGAGGGAACATGAATGGGGGAGGGGCAGAGAGCAAGGGAGACACAGAATCCAAAGCAGGCTCCAGGCTCTGAGCTGTCAGTACAGAGCCCGATGCAGGGCTGGAACCCACAATCTATGAGATCACGACCTGAGCCGAAGTCAGTCACTTAACTGACTGAGCCACCCAGGTGCCCTGCCAGTTTTATCTTTAAAGCTGACAGTGGCAACTTCAGTTGATACCAAAGCCTTATTACACTGACATGAGGCTATTTCCAGTATTTATCTTACTGGGAATATCCTATGTTTTCTGGCAGAAATATTGTGGTTAAAGGTGCCTTTAACTTATGAGGGTTATTACATAACATATTACAAATATACCCTAAAATGTTTCTAAAATCTGAATCTCAAAATCTCCTTGGTCCAGGTGTTTTTGGACAAACGATTATGGCCCTGTACTCTTTTCATTTTCAAGTGCAGTATTTAACCTACCCAGAGGACTATGCCATGGGCTTGCCCAAAACCTACCACTGCTTCCGGCACTGGCCTTAGTGATGTTCAAAAGGCACACTCACCTAAGCTAAATCCCATCTCACTCAGTAACATATCCCTGTGGACATTCCTACATCAAACACTTTCATCTTAAGACTTTCCTGCTGTTTATTAATATACTAACCTAACAGTCATTTGTTTTCTATCTTCTTAACCTAAACCTTGGTAAACTGAAATTTTATCTTCCTTTGCCCTCTCAGTGGCTCTTAACCAGAGGCAATTTTGCTCCCCAGGGAACATTTTGGCACTGTCTAGAGGCATTTCTGGTTGTTGAAACTGGGTGGAGGTGTTCCTGGCACATAGCGGATAAGGTTAGATACACTTCTAAACATCCTACGATACACAAGATGCCCTCCACAATAAATAACTATCCAGTCTAAAATGTTCATAGTACCAATACTTAGAAACTCTGCTATATATCAATCCCACCATCTTTATTCCCAAAATCAAATCATTCCACATAATTTTAGAGTTCTTCAATTTGGATGATTCAAGTGACCTTTTTCGCCCTTACAGATCAGTGACCTGCAAAAAATATATACTGTTTCTTCCTGGTCCGTTCTATTTAATCATTTCTAATCATCAGATTCTTAAGTCAGTAGGAAAGAAAACAACGATAATGTATTCTAAAGTTACCATTAGAGGGGTGCCTGCGTGGCTCAGTCGGTTAAATGTCTGACTTCAGCTCAGGTCATGATCTCACGGTTCTTGAGTTCGAGCCCCACACTGCGCTCTGTGCTGACAGCTCAGAGCCTGGAGCCTGATTCAGATTCTGTGTCTCCTTCTCTCTCTGCCCGCCCCCCCACTCATGAGCCTTCTCTCTCAAAAAAATAAATAAACATTAAAAAATAATTTTAAAAAATTAAGTTACCATTACAGTACAGTAACCTTAAAATAAATAGTTCTGTAAACAACTGTACTTATTTTTAGTCCATCTACTCTTTTTAAAAAACGAGACTTGGTTTCTATGAAAAAAGAAAATATTCTCATCAAGCAAGCAACTTCAGCTTTTAAACTATTTTTCTTACATTTAATTTTTTTTTTTTTTACCCCTAAGGGAAAACAAAAAATGGAAGGATAAGAGGAAAAGGAAAAAGCTGAGTTTGGTACAGACATAAATCAGTATCTACATACAATATAATTAATGTGAATCTAAAACAGGAATAACTACTTAAATGTAATCAGAAAAACTTCTTTTTTCTTTTCTTTTTTTGGCAAATAATTCTTTTTAAATAAGAAAAGCTATCAGCTTACCCTTTACTTTTAGAGACCAAACCAAGAGACTGACTCAATCGATGAATAAAGGCTCTTTCAGTACTGGTCAAAGAAGAAGGAAATTCCATTTCTACATAGAAAAAAACAAACAAACACAAAGTACCATTTGGGAATACACAATTTTCTTTCAAGGTACTTCAATAAACACACACAGATATAAAATACGAAAAAAATCATACAAATAATCAAATTTACGTTATGTGAAAAGTAGATATTAATTCAATAACTGCTAAATGTCTACCACAGTTGCGATATTAGTAAAAATTAAGGCTAAACGTGATAGAAGGCTCTAATGTTCTCCAAACATTACTCTTATGTGTGCTGGAATCTTCAATAGGTCTGACGACGGATGAACACATTTTACTCTCGTCCTTACTCGCTTCACTAACAAAGGGCTCATTTCCTTCCATGATGAAGTATGCTCAAGGATTACGAATGCTCAACGTCAAACCGCACATGGCCTTTGCTTTCCAGACTGCACAGACTTCTGTCAGACTGGATTTGTTGTTCGACTCTATTGCTGAGACCGTGTGTAATATAAGTTCATTCTGTCCAGGTCATTGCCTGTTGTGGACCGTAAACTCCTCCGAGTATCGAACGGGTCCCCTATTGAAGGCAGCAAAGCGGACTGGGCACTGGATAAGTTGTACGGACGCCCGCGCGTGGGCTACTCGCTCTGCACTGTATGACCCAAGACGAGCAGCCTTCTAACCTTAAAAGGTGTGAGAAACGTTTTCATCTACCAAAGTCTGACTGTTTTCAAGTGTTTAAGGGTGATGCTCTCGGGATTTAAACAACACACGGCGTATCGCCAATGCATGTATTTGCCTGGTTTCCTTCTACCCTTCTACGTCTGTAGTTTCTCACCTAAGACTGACACAATTTACTTTAAAAAAAAAAAATGTAGGGACGTACCAATACCTAAAAACTGTCGCTAAGCCGCCCCAGGCTGCCCACAGGCCTCTCTGAGGGGAAAGAAACGCCTCCGGCAAGGGAGCAACCCGACTCCGGTCCCCTTGTCGTTAATGCCGGGCAAGTGTCTTAACCCTGCGGATGCGCAGGACGCCACGCATCCCACGGGCGCCGAGCGTGGCCCCAGGCCGCCGCGCGGGCCGGCGCGAGTGGGCCGGGGGGTCTGCCCTCCCTCCTCCGAGCCAGCCCCTTCACTCGGTGGGCCGGGCCTTGAGGGAGGCGGGGTCCCTGTCAGGAACCTCACCTCTCTGGTCCCCGTAGCGGAAGCGCTCCAGAGCGATATTGACCGCGATCTTCACCTCCTCGTCTATGCGAATGTCCTTCAGCCCCTTGGCCCGGCGTCCGCCCCCAGGGCCGCCCGGAGCGGGGCCGCCCCCGCTGCCAGGAGCGGGCGGCCGCGGGGAGACGCTGCTCGGCCTGGACATGGCCCGGAGAAGTTCTCCCCGCGGGGGCGCGGCCAGGCCTGCCAGCTGGCGGTCAATGACGAGGACAGGAGGCCACCGCCGGGACTGGACCCCTCCGCAGACTGCCTGCGCTGGGCCGGGGTCACCGGAGACCTCCTCGCTACCCGCTCACCACAACAGCAGAGAAGGAGCCGGCGCCACTGAAGCCCCGGCAAGGCCGGCAGCGCGGGCGTGATGACGTCACCGGGGCCGCGGGCGTCGGTGACCTCAGCGCGTCGGCCGCCCCTCGCGCCCGGTCCGCACCAGGACTATCCCGATTTTCTCTTTCTTCCCGCGTGCCCCCCCACCCCCACGCCTCCCGCACCAAGGGGCTCTCGTGCATCCTTTTATTCAGTCACTCATTCTTTCCTTAAATCCTTCTCGAATTCATTCCGTGAGCTGGTGTGCGCTCGCACCACGTTCCCGACAGGCACTATGCTAAGCCCTAGGTGTACATTGGGGACCGGACAGACGTGGTTCCTGTCCTCAGGAGACTCACATTCTAGTGGAGTTACCAGATTTAGCACGTAAGGATGCAGGATGCCCGGTTTATTTGCATTTCAGATGACGAACCGTTTTTCTAGTATTCGAATTTCCTACGCAATGTTGGGAACACCTACAGTAATAATGATGATGATAATATTGAGGTATTCTACCCGAAATGCAGTTTTAACAGAGCATCTGTATTTTCTGGGACCACCCTAAATGAGAATGACAGACAATAAACGAGTATATGGTTAAATGATAGTTACAAGCGCTAGATGAGATGATGGAATAGGAAGGTGGAACCCTTTATTTTGGAAGGTCAAGATTAAGAGAGTTTGCCCTTGCTTGTATACAACTCCATTAACGTAAACTCCATTAATATAAACCTAGTCCCAGCCACCCTAACTGCCTCCACTCGAGCCTTCCCGTGATCCATTCTGTAGAGAGCAACCAGGTATATTTTTAAAAATACAAGCCAAGTAGGATAACCCTCCTGCATAAAGCACTCCAGTAGCTCTTCGTTGCAACTACTAAAACCCCTCAATTTTTTACCATGACCCTCTCAGGATGCTGCCTAAACTGGCCTGTGCCCCACCTCCAGGAATCTCCTCGTCTCCACCACTCACGTGATTACTTACAGTGCTCAAATGCACTACTTTCTTTCTGTCCCTTGCCCACACCAGGTTCATTACCATCAGGGGAACTTTCCACGTTGCATAGTTTCCTCCTGCACAGGACAACCTCCCTCCCAGGACCTCATGTGGATGCCTCTTTCTTGTCACTTAAGGCAGGATTCTCTGTTATCTAGACAGGTTCTCTCACATCAATCTGTTCACATTTACCACTGTTTGAAATTCTTTTATTTATAATTTGCTCTTTTCACTAGAATATAAGCTCAAGAGTAGGAACCTTTGTTATCTTGTCAGTTTCATTAGCAGCTAAAACTGCAGAAACACCCAATAAATATTCATTGGTTGGCCATATTTTAGAATCTGGAATTGGGATTGGTCATCTCTATCCTCGGAAAACTTTCTTCATGATCCTTGAGCTCCTAATCTCATTGGTTGGTTGGCTCGAATGAGTTCTGAATATGCAGAAATAGGTTCAACATTCTGTCCCTGGCATAGATATCACTGAACTGCGTGAACATTTACTACTACCTTCATCTCTGTGTATCGTAATTTCCTTAGCTGTACAATAATAATACCAGCCATTTATTAAGTGCCCAGGGCACTGTCTTTATTTTCCCAAGCCTCATAAAACCATATGAAGTAGTTACATTACCTCATGACATAGATGGTAGAGATGAGGAAGCAGGCTGGATGGGTTTAAAATAACTGTCCCCCAAAATAAAAAATGATAATAATAATAACTCTGCCAGGGCCATGTTATTAGTAATTAATGAGGTAGAGATAGAAAGCAGGCTCAGCCAATGATGAAGGCCAGATTCATTCCAAGACAAAACTCAAATGTGAGATAATATCTGGATGGCCTTAGATATGCTGTGATAAAACATTTTATTTATTTTTTTACATTCTTTTTTTATCTTATTTTATTTTAAGTAATATCTACACCCAATGTGGGGCTCGAACTCTCAACGGGGAGATCAAGAATCACACACTCCATCAACTGAGCCAGCCAAGGCGTCCCTGTGATAAAACATTTTATATGGGACCGGACACATTGTTTTCAGTCTCACTCCAAAACTTCTTAGTTCCATCATTTATTGACTCCACCGTTCATTAGTTTTGTGGCTTGACTACTTACTCTGAAGTTCAGGTTTCCGATCTGTAAGTAGTTATATTTAGTACTCATTTTATAGGATCATTGTGAATATGGTAGCTACGTAAATATCAAGCATTATTTAATGTCGTGTTCATTCTTTCCTCTCTTTTTTGTACAAATGCCTAAATGCTTTAGGCTCCACACTGACAGCACAGAGCCTGCTTGGGAGTCTTTCTCTTCCTCTCTCTCTCTCTGCCCCTACCCTGTGAGCTCGGTACGCATGTGTGCTCTCTCGCTTTCTCTGTCTCTCTCAAAATAAAAATATAAAAACATTTTTTAAATGCCTAAATGCTTGGGGTGCCGGGGTAGCTCCGCTGTTTAAGCGTCCAACTTTGGCTCAGGTCATGATCTCACCTCTCATGAATTCGAGTCCCACCTCGGACTCTGTGCTGACAGCTCAGAGCCTAGAGCATCTTTGGATTCTGTGCCTCCCTCTCTGTTTGCCTCTTCCCCCCTGGAGCTCTGTCTCTCTGTCTCTCTCTCTCTCAAAAAAAAAACCTAAATATTAAAAAAAATTTAGTAAAAATATAAAATGCCTAAATGCTTATATTCCTGGTACCTACTAATAATATGGAATATGTTCATTCAAATAAAAAGAATACTTGCCCAAAGGTACATAGCAATAAATTATAAGGTTAATCAGCTTCTACATTCTCTGTTTTTTTTCCTTACCCCTGGAAATATCTGGGTGCTAAGGGTGAAACACTGCAATTCTACTTTTTACATAAGCTTCAGAGAAAAAGTTAAAGTAGGGAAGGTATCAGATATTTAAAGGTGATTCCAAGTTATCCTTAGCATAGAATAGATCGAAAGTTTTCATCCTTATTTTTATCATTTAGCATAGTGTAGCCTCATGTAATGATTTAACCTTCCTGTGCTTTAATTTCCTCAACCATAAAATGGGTCTGACAACATCCATGTCACAGTGTTATTACAGAGATGAAATCAGATTATATTGCCTTTATGCAGATGAAGTGCTTACCATAATTCCTGGCTCACAGCTCAGCCTTAGCATTCTGTTATAGTTTGATGCTTTTTACTTCAACTGACAGAAAATCCAAGCAAAAAAGACGCCAAGTGGGGCAGCTGGGTGGCTCCATTGGTTAAGCATCTGCTTTTGGCTCTGGTCACGAGCTCACAGTTCATAAGTTTGAGCCCCACATTGGGTTCTCTGCTGTCAGCACAGAGCCTGCTCTAGATCCACTGTCCCCACCCCATTTATACTCGCTCTCTCTCTTTAAAAAAAAAAACAAAAAAAAAACAAGTAAGGACATTTCTTAACTTATATAACAAGAAGTCTAGAGGTAAGATGGTTCCTGGGTTGATTATTTCAACATGACCAGCTTACCCCTCAGTCATCCTTGGAGTGTTTGCCCCTCCTCTCTTGGCTGCAGATCTAAGCAATCACATCATAACGCATCACCAAATAAGGGCAAGAAAAGGAAGTACCTTCTGCCTGATGTCCATTTTTTAAAATATTTATTTATGTATTTATTTTGAGAAAGAGAGAGAGAGAGAATGAGGAGAAGTGGCAGAGAGAGGGAGAGAGAGAATTCCAAACAGGCTCCATGCTGTCAGTGCAGAGCCCGACTCAGGGCTCAATCTCATGAATCATGAGATCATGACCTGAGCTGAAATCAAGAATCAAACACTTAACCAACTGAGCCACCCAGGCGCCCCTCTGATTTTTTTTTTTTAATTGAGAGAGAGAGGGTGCAAGTGGGTGAGGGTGGAGAGAGAGAGAGAGAGAGAGAGAGAGAGAGAGAGAATTCCATGAGGGCCAGAGAGAAGGGGCAGGGAGGAGAGAGAGAGAAAAGTAGGACTCAGCTGAAGTGGGGCTCTAGCTCACCCAATGTGGGGCTCAAACTCACAAACTGTGAGAGCATGACCTGAGCCGAGGTCAGATGCTTAATCAACTGAGCCACCCGGTTGCCTCTCTCATGTCCTTTTCTAAGAAAGAGAGAAAAACTTTCTCAGAAGTCTCAGGAGTAGAGGGGTGCCCGAGTGGCTCAGTCAGTTAAGTGTCCGACTTCGGCTCAGGTAATGATCTCATGGTTTGTGGGTTTGAGCCCCATGTCGGGCTCTGTGCTGACAGCTAGCTCAAAGTCTGGAGCCTGCTTTGGATTCTGTGTCTCCCTCTCTCTCTGCCCCTCCTCCCACTCATGCTCTCTCTCCCTCTCTCTCTCTCTCTCTCTCTCAAACATAAAAAAGCATTTAAAAAATTAATAATAATAATAATAATATCAAGGGGCACCTGGGTGGCTCAGTCGGTTAAGCGTCCGACTTCGGCTCAGGTCATAATCTCATGGTTGATAGGTTCAAGCCCCGCATCGGGCTCTGTGCTGACAGCTAGCTCAGAGCCTGGAGCCTGCTTCAAATTCTGTGTCTCCCTCTCTCTCTGACCCTCCCCTATTCATGATGTCTCTCTCTCTCTCAGAAATAAATAAAAAACATACAAAAAAAATTTTTTAATAATAATATCAAATCGTACCTCATATAATACACAAAAATTAACTCAAAATGAATTATAGTCCTTACCAAAATACGAGTTAAAAATGTAAAACTTCTGGAAGAAAGCATAAGAGAAAATCTTTGCAACCTTGGATTAGAGAAAGATTGTTTTTAGATGTGACACCAAAAGCACAAACCATAAAAGAAAAAATTGGGTTTCATCTAAAGTATTTACTTGAGGCATCTGAGTGGCTCAGTCAGTTGAGTGTCCGACTTCAGCTCAGGTCATGATCTCACAGTTCATGGGTTCGAGCCCTGCGTCAGGCTCTGTGCTGACCACAGAGCCTGCTTGGAGTTCTCTGTCCTCTCCCTCTCTCTCTGTGCCTCCACTGCTCATGCTGTGTCTCTATCTCACAGAAATAAAAATAAAAACATTTAAAAATACTTTTTTAATTAAAAAAATTAAGTATTTATTT